CTGACGGCGGGATATTATGGAACATTTAGTGGTGAGCATAGTAAATCTGGTATCTGACTCGCTCACTACAATTGCTTAACAACCTTCAGCAGTAGACAGTGATGCAACTTGGAATGCTCTCTCGGCCAAGGTGACCTCAGCCCCCTCAGCTAAGAGCCTTAAGAAGAGACTTGATAACCACTCACACACGCATTATCGTCTCTCTCGTGGACAAGCCGTGCCTGATGCATGTCTTGAGACTTGCTAGTTGTTAATACCACCACCTTCTTAGATCCCTGACCTAATCTATCTCGCCTGTTATCTCTGTTTCCTCTCCCTTGCTCACACTTTTATACTTTTCCTCTCTCACAATCTTCACTACCAATTAATAAACTGAATTATCTATTTATTTGCTTAGTTCTAAAATCTTCCTATTTGCAGCCGAATTTTCTCATTATTGTTCTCCACACTGCAACCAACCTATCTTCAGTTCGGTTATGTGATAGCTGCAGGTATCCAGAAAACCTACTGTCCTGAAACTAACGTTTTCATTCAAATCACGGGACATACAAACTCACAACCAACTTCCAAGTGACTGGAATTAGATAATCGAGCGGATAGACATCCATCCATTGGAAACTAACAAATACTTGGAACCATAACGAAAGAACTAGAATTGGGGGCAAAGAAATCAACTGGTTTTTACTAGCTCGTGAAAAAGATATTGGATTCTGGAATGTCACAAGGTCGTTGCCTATCACCGAAGTGCCACGTCATGCATTTCCTGCCTCATATGACGCAAAAGACCTATAACCTCAATGGAAGTCCGCTCCCTAATGTCTCCTCAGAGCGCGATCTTGGTTTAATAACCACAGAGAGCCTCCACCAGTCCAAACTATGTATAGGATGCAGCCAAGGCAAACGCGACTCTTCGCTTTATGCGAACACAGCTTGGTGCTATCACCCCGAAATTATTTTTAACCCTGTTTAAGACGTACGCGCGCCCACACTTGTAGGTTCACAACGTCATCGCACCCCCTCTGCTTAAAAGAGACATAAATCTCCTGGATCGAGTGTAAAGACGAGCAACCACATGGGTGATAGGGTCGAAAAATAAACGTTACGACGATAGACTCCAGCTCTTGGGATTATTTCCACTGAGCTACAGGAGAATCAGAGGTGATATGATTATGGCGCACAACATATTAAACACGCCAAGTCATCCCAATGTGAACATCTTACCGATGCATCACCACCACTCCTCTCGAGGCAATCCTCGAGAGATTGCACATCAGGGAGTGAATACTCAGATTCATGCACACTTTTTCTCATTGCGAGTCATCGCCACTTGAAATGCTCTCCCAGCCTAGTTGACCACAGCCCCTCAGTAGACTACTTTAAGGAGAGACTTGATAATCACATACTCACATACGGACTATTATCTCCCTCTTGGACTAGCTGTTTATGATGCATATTTTGAGACCTGCTAGTTGTTATCATTGCCATCTCCTCAGATGACTCAATTAATCGATCTCGCTTATTATCATTGTTTCCTCTCCATTGCTTACACTACGGTCCTCTCTCACAATCTTCACTACCAATTAGCACATTAAATTCATCCATATATTACTCAGTTCTGAAATTTTATTCATATTATCATTAGAATTTTATCCTTATTATACTTATTACTCTCCACATTGCAACTAACTGATCTCCGGTTTGGTAATGTGATGGCTGCTGGTATCCAGAAACCCTACTGCCCTGAAACTAACGTTTTCATTCCAATCCCGAGACATACAAACTCACAACGAACTTCCAACTGACTAGAATTAGACAGTCGAGTGGCTAGACCTGCATCCATTGGAAATTATCGAACACCTGGAACCGTACCGAAAGAAGAAGAATCGAGCTCGAAGAAATCAAATTGGTTTACACTAGCTCGTCAAAAAGATATCGGATATTGGATATTGGAACACATTCGAAATCTTTCGCTACTCCCAGTTCCGATCGCCAGTTTGTTTTACCTTACGCCTGATCTATTTCTGATGGCTGTTGTATGCTTTCCTTAGTTAATGTAAGTCCATTACATGGGCTCACTGGATCACTTTTCCTCTTGTTGTTTTCTCTTGCAGGTATTCTCATATGAGAATACCGAAAACCTAATTAAACAGTAATGGGGAAATGAACACGAACTGTGGGGAAATTCAGGCAACATTGGCTAAGGAAGTTTAGTGTGAAGTCAGGCGACATCGCTTCAAACATATTCCTTTATCGCCTGGGGTGGGGAAATACGACAATTCTCCAAAATAACCTACAAAAACCGCAAGGTTCACAAATTTACACTCTGGTAATTCTTTAAGTTGCCTACATTTCGCCACAATCCTCATTAACTTATCTAGCTTCCACGTAAAGTCAATTGCTTGCCTTACTGTTCGAAAGTTCGTCTTTATTTCCTTAAGAAAATGGACACTTCAGAATGATGATAGTCATGATGAAAAAATTATTGTAATGAATAATACTCAGCAGAAACCACCTATTAGATTTGCGGTTGCTTCGATCAATCTTCGTTGTGACCTATGGGCTCAATCGTGTTAGATAGCTGAAAAAGGTGTGTTGGTTTATTATCTGTCTCTACAAAGCAGCAGAAACCCACGAAGAAAGTGTCTCTTCCGAGGTTAATGGAAAAATGTAAAATAGGCAATATAGTTCGCGCTTTGTCACACAGTAATCCGTCAGTTGTAGTTCTTACCATTAAGTGTATTTTGAAAGGTAGGCAAATAATTATGGCTAACTGTAATGCAAAGTATAAAATGATTATAGATTCTGAAGAGAAGCAAAATTTGTGGCAGTGTTACACAAATTACTCCTATGTGTCTGGAAAAGAGAAACAGATGTTATCAGCGGAAACGATTACTTACATGTTCCTTTTCCCTTTGGTAATGTTTTTATCTAATTTATCTCGTGAGAAATAGTTCGTCGTTATGTCCAAAAGTTTGCCAGCGTCTTTCAGTCGATAATGAGGATGTGAGTTTCTATGTTTAAGGCACCTAGAAGACAAGTAAAACACCGAGTAATTACTTCTTCGCTTATATCAATACATACGGACAACTATAGACGTACGTTCGATTGGGACAATAACCTCAATAAAGCCAAGTTTAGCAGAATCAAAGACTTTTGAAACCTCTTTTATTAGGTCCCCAGTAAAGTGAAGTTGATAAACAATTCGGGACTGGAATGTATCCCAGAATATACCTAAAAGAAGAATTTTGGTTGTTATCCCCTAAATTGTTCTCCTTGGCCATCTGAAATTAAAATGATACCCAGTAAACTAGTGAAATTAAGAATCTACCCCTAAAATCTTGCAGGAGATTGGTTTCTTGGGTTTTAGACTCTTCCTCTGTTGACAGATCTGAAGTACTGTTTGATGATGGCTTAAATGTTCCGTTGTCAAAAACCCACGGGACTTCGGTGGTTTTTATTAAGAACAATTGCTTCTGCATGCAAAACTTGTGACCAAAGTCATAAACAAAGGTCATCGCAGTTTCGGCCAATTAAACTATCTTCATTGGCAGATCAAATGGAAGTAACATGTGATAAAAGTTCTTGTAGTGCTTTAGAGTTCAGTAAGCGCACTTTTCCAAAGCATTTGGACATCAACGGTAAAAGTAAAAACATTTCACAGTTTCTCGATTTCAGAAGCTCAAAACTTAGGATTCTTTACGTGTAAACTGAAATAAATGCATTCGTTTCGGAAAATGTGAAGATTATAGGAATCACAATGAAGAAAGCTGATGCCATTCTGAATGCTCTCCGCAGGTACTTACCGCACCCTAACAGTGTTCGAAGTATATTAGAAACATATGATGATATGCAGCCGAAATTCCATATAAATGGTGCTAATATACCGGGTTGGAAACTAATCTGCTAAGATACGTCGAATAATGGCTGTCCTAGTGCGAGCGCGTATTTGTTTGAGGCTTACTGGACGTAGGAAAGACACCGTAAGGAAGCCTCTCAGGGCTTTACTTGATGATAATCAAGCTAAGAAAATATTTCAGGAGGAACTAGAAAAACAGTTAGGCAACCATGCAAGTGATTCCCATCCTGAGTCAGGTTGGTAAACCATAAGGCTAGGATGAAGCCGTGGATTTCAGTCGCATCCACCGAACTGATGGATGCTCGAAAACGCATCCCACCTGACTCTGGACATGATGAAGAGCGTAGTCAGCTTAGGCGCAGACTTATAAAAAGCCTACGTAACGACCGTGAACAGTGATGGGTGGCGAAAGCAAAAGCGATGGAAAAGGCAGCGGCGATAGGCAACACTAGACAACTTTTCCGCCTTATCAAATAAACCGGTATTAGGAACCCGAATGTGAATGAGACTATCTCGGAATAGGATGGTCTTATTATCCATTCTCAATCCAGGAGACTGGATCGATGGGCAGAACACTTTAGGGACCAGTTAAATTGGTCTTCAGCCACTTTTCGGTTACCCATGATCCCTAGTCATCCTGAATGGCAAATCGATCTAAGTCCTCCCAGTCTACATGAAGTTGAGAAAGCGTTAATAAATCTGAAGCGAGGGAAATCTAAAGCGAAGTAGAGCAACAGGTCCTGATGGGCTTAACCCTGAGATGTTTAAGGATGGTGGTCCAGTTTCAACAGTTAGACTGACCGATATCCTAGGTAGAATCTGGGAACTGTACGTGATCCCATCTGACTGGTCTCAGTCGCTAATCGTCCCATCTACAAGAAAGGACAGAAGTCCTCTTGTGACAATCACAGGGGAATAAGTTTAACTAATATAGTTTCTAAATTGTTAGCCTCGATTATACTTAGACGTCTAACTAGAGCTCGTGAAGAGCAGACTCGAGAAAACCAGTCTGGTTTTCGACCTGGACGTGGTTGTATAGACCACATCTTCACACTACGACAGGTCCTGGAACACAGACACACATTTAGACGTCCGACAATAGTCGTGTTCCTGGACCTAAAAGCGGCATTCGACTCAGTGGATGGTGAGGTTCTGTTGCAGTGTCTGTCATTGAAAGGTGTACCAAAGAAGTACATTAACCCTATACAAGCTCTCTACTCGAACACCACTGGTCGGGTGAGAGCATATGTCGAACTGTCATCTGAATTCTGTACATCAAGTGGTGTCCGTCAGGGCTGTCCACTCTCTCCATTCTTGTTTAACTTTGTCGTAGACATCCTCCTGGAGTTAACATTATCCTCGTCAGATTTTCCAGGGGTTGACCTTCTACCAGGAAAGTCGCTTACTGATCTAGAATATGCCGATGACATAGTTGTATTCGGTGAAGACGCTGACAAAATGCAGAGTCTTCTGATTACCATAAGCAACAATGCGAGCATGTTCGGGATGAGGTTTTTTCCCTCGAAATGCAAAATGTTGCTTCAAGACTGGGTTGTATCGACACCTGAACTAGTGATAGGGAGTGAAGTAGTCGAGCGTGTTGATCACTTTACTTATCTGGGGAGTCTCATCAGTGCTGACAGTCTGGTGACTGACGAAATCTCAGCTCGGATACAGAAAGCTCGATTGGCCTTTGCCAACCTGCGTCACTTATGGCGTAGGCGTGATATCCGTTCGCTAACCAAAGGGCGGGTGTACTGCGCAGCAGTTCGTTCCGTTCTCTTATATGGCTGTGAGACATGGCCGTTAAGAGTGGAAGATGTTCGTAGGTTACTAGTATTCGATCATAGATGTTTAAGAAGCATTGCTCGTATATCGTGGGACAGCCGAGTAAGCAATGGTGTCGTTAGGAAACGAGTACTAGGTAAGGATGGCAGATCAATCGATGAAGTGGTGAAACTTCATCAGTTGAGGTGGTTGGGACATGTATTACGTATGCCTAACCACCGACTGCCTCGATGAGTTATGCTTTGTGGTGTAGGAGTAGGTTGGAAGAAAGCTAGGGGCGGCCAGACCAAAACATGGCAGAAATCCATGACGTCACTGACAAGTTGACCGTGTCATGTTGGTAGATGTAGACTGCCTGGTTGGGGTCCGCGAGATGATAATAATCGATGGTTAGAGACCTTGAACGACATGGCTCAAAATCGTTTGCAATGGCGCAGGTGCATCCACTCTTTGAGCTCTCTCAAATCCTAATCTTCTGGAATCGTCAGCACCTCTACCTTTGTCTTTCTAACCTTATCTCACTGAATTATACTTCTTGAATAATATCCTCGAACCGTAGTCTTCTTTATTACCATTAATACCTCTACTATCTTTATCACTATGGGATTTGATTTGACATCTGAGTCTTTGTGCTAATGTGGTATGGCAACATGAACTTATGTACATACGTACGTAGTTCTGCGTACTGACTGACTGACTTCCATATGTCGTATCAATATTGTTAAGTGTGATGGATAAAAGAACCCACCAATTATACTATTAAACGCTCACCACCACTTTAACATTGTACAACTATGCTCTGTTTATTCACCAATCAAAATCTCAGATGTTGACCATAGACTTTATTAAGTTTTGTTGACTCTTCTGTCCTGTGGTTTATGTTTAGTGTGTTCTTTATATGCATCTTTTCTCTTTTTCATGAGATGTATTGGTGTTTGTTTACTTATGATAATGGTGTCGATTTTCACTCAAAAAAACAAGCCTTTTAGCCCACTTGTTATGACCTTTGCTAATACTCTGTATTCGACAGTGTAGGAATTAACCTAGAATTGCATCTGTAAGTAATCAACCCCTACAGGCATTACATTTCCTATTTCAAATACTGAACAGTTCCTGTGCTTTAAATTAGTCATTTAAATCTCTAAATAACGGGTGCTTAATACAGGTCCAATAACTGATGAATCCTTGTTTCGAACATTATTCTATTTTCTATACTCTATAACAGTGTAATCTGATAGATTAGTGATACTTTCTCTTTCTTTGATATAAATATAAAGCAGTTTTATTGTTGAGTTTATATTTTGTCGAAATATTTGTTACATACCGTAAAATGTCAACATAATACAGAGTAAAAACCAAGAGAATAATCTTAACTTGTCACTTATAATGATAGACACTTTTATGACTAATTAATCCCACCTCCCAGAATTCGATCGTAGTGACTCTGAGTTTTGGTTCTCTCAATTCGACAATTACTTCACGAGGCTCAATTTTAGATCTAAGGGAACTTGACACCCAAGATTTATGACATATGACTTCATTTTAAATCCCCACGTATCGCAACTGTACACCACTTTAGGATATGAGATAATGAACTGTCTATTTTTATTAAACGATCAGATGATCCGAAAGCTTTTCGAAAAGGAATCATTGGGTGGTATCTCTTCATCCTATTTCTTACTTCATCTCAAAGTATTGATTGGCGCAGTTCCAAAAAATGATGGATACAAGCTCTCCTTTCTTACGTCTAACACTAATAAAACGGGTATTAGATTGGAAAATAGCTCGCTTTTTATTCAATATATATTTTAACTGACTCTTAATTATATCGTATTTATTCTTTCCTATAGGAAATGACAACACGTGTTTTAAATCTGATTTTTATGCGCTACAAAACAATAAATTGGTCCAACTAACGATGTTATTACACCTATTACGTACGCCGGTTACCAGGATTACCAGATGTTTTGGCAGTATCCCTGTTGTTTCAAAAACAATTGATCGCTTTAATGGCATACATCTAAATATTGTCTCCTTCAAAACCAATGATACTGGCTACATCATTCGTCTGTACTTGATTATTTTTCACAACCTCTTGAAATTTATTCTGTTTAGAGCATATCAATGATATAATTAACAACCCATCAGGTTTCAAAGCAATCTGGGTAACTTTGAAGGTCGAACATTCTGAACTTGTTCCGCTTCTCTGTAAATCACCCCCCATTGGTCCGGGCATGAAATTTCACCATGCACGTAATTCTGAGGCTACTTTGGTCCGATGGCTAGGTGAAGGTGCAAGCAGACTACCTGATTATGCTTCACATCAAGTGGGAGTAGCTGGTTAGTTTATTTCTTAATTCAAGCTGTAAAGTTTATACAAACTTAATGATAGTGTACTCATTGGTTTAAAATGAGGCAGTCACTCTGAATTTTTCTCTTACTAAGTGTATGATGTGAATTCGCGAGTAGTCGTTCTTTTTAACAACTGCATAATTCATATTACGACAATGCCACCGTATGGTTTCGTAGATTGAGATTTTCTCTAACAGTTTCCTATCACTGTGCGAACAGGTATAACAACTTGAACTAATGTCTCACGTTCTACTTCGCGTTTGACTGACTGAGCGGTAAATGCTCTCAACTTTAATCTATTCGGTCTTAAGTTTAAAGCTGTTCCACTTCGACTTATACAGCTTGATGTTATAATTAACCTTCGTTTGATAATTATGACTCTAATCCGAAAAAATGAAGTTTTACCTGATATACGAGTAGTTGTATTAATTACATATTCAGTATTGTTGGAGTTACATAATATTATCTCCGGTAGAAGTTCTAAAGAATTCAAAGAAATGTAAAGTTGTAAACAACTCGACTATGGACTATAATAAATGTGTTTTGTTAGGAGCTTCTCGTAAGTCCAAGTAACTTGTTTTAAACAACACTTTCAAAACATTTCAAGTTAACAAATCCATATCATGACTTCAGAAAATGCTAAATCACCCAACAAAAGATGTATCAAACTAAGCGAGTTTTATTTCATCTAAAAGCGTAGTCAAACCTGTTCGGTAAACATATATTTTATTTCTTCCCAAGGTGTGGATATTCATTTTTAAAGTGTCAATTTAATTCGATACATGTCTTTCAAGTCGTTTTTCGCATTGGGATAGACTCTTTGGCGACGCAAAGACTTCCAGTATATTTTAGGAGATCTATTCCATTGTATACAATTTATAGCTAATCCTAAGCTCGTGTCTATCCTAATGCAAAAAACAACTTGCAAGACATTTGTCTAATTAAATGGACACTTTAAAAATAAATATCCGCGCGTTGGGAAGAAACCTGCTTCTGAAAGAATATTCCGTTAAAAACTGGCCTTCGGATTCTGTTGAAAAAGTTTCCTAGAACACATCTGAGAAGATGATGACAAAACTAGTGAGAAGTTTGGAAGACTAGAAAAGGAAATTACTTTTGATCCGAAACAGTATCTACATAATTTTCCGAATATTGAACCAGATGTAATACAGTTAGAAGCTTTATCTCTGGGACCTAAATTCTGTGATAATGGGCTCATCTCTAGGCCCAATTCTAGCTGATCTTTTCCAAGCCAAGCAAAGTTAGAAAATGGACCACTTAATGAGGCTAATCAGAAACGTGATCTAAATTGCAGCTTTATCGATGACATATTCATTACTGTAGATCAGAACACCAATAAAGAAAAACTCCTAGAACAATTCAACAGTGTACACCCGGCAATCACATTCACCGGTGAAGATAAGTGTGATAAAAAGGTGAATTTCCCTGATGGTGATGGCTTGTTAAGTAGAAGCGTGTACAGAAAATATCCCTCTACTTGCCAATGTACTCATTTTTGTAGTTTTATACCTATCTGTTACAAGAGAAATTTGGTTAGATGTCTTACTAGGAGAGCGAAAGTGATCTGTTCGGTGAATACTTTAAGTCAGGGACTGGAATTTATCAACAACCCACTGACCGAGATCGGTTACCCTAGTGCGTTCATAAAGAAGTACATGTAAAGTGTCAAAAAGAAGTTGGAGACTTCGACCGTTCGAAAAAAGCCTTCATTGACTAAACTACAATTCAACGGGGATGTGGCTAGCGATACCCTGCAGGATATATTAACGAAGGTAATTAGTAAGACATTCTACGTGGTCAAACTTGCGTTGACCTTCTCAAGTCGACTAACGATGTCTACTCAAACGAAGGATAAGTTATCTGAGTTAGCCTCCTCTATGTACATTGACAAATCTAGCTGCTCATGTAACGATAGCTATATTGGGCGTACTACCAACCAACGTAATCAACGAATGAGTGAACATATCCTGGCATGGTTTATAAAGGGCCAGATAAAAACAATACGCAGTTCTATCTTTGTACATCTGAATCATTTCGATTGATCTTTCGTATATCTCCATCATTTCACATCAGAGTTCGATCCCGCCTCCTGCATATTGCAGAAGCCATGGGAATTCGTATTTTCAACCCCAATATATGTGTTCAGAAGAAATTCGTGGCACTCCTATCCTTTTTTTGACGTGATATAATTTATAAACGTTAAAAAATTCGTATTTTTATTTTATTTTTGTTACTATTAGCATTATTTTCACATCCTGTATTTGTTTGTAATTTTCCAACTCTTTCCGTTTATAGTCTTCACTATCTAATTTTTCACACACTTATTCTATGTAACGGTTTTAATGTTTTGTCATGATTACTTTAAGTCTCTTCACCCATGTTTGACCTACTATTTCCAATGTTGAACTACTGATAAAACTTATTATCGTAATTTGTTACTCTTATTACTACCAGTACACCTGTCTCCTTACTTTTAGCTATATATATATATATATATATATATATATATATATATATATATATATATATATATATATTGAGACATTTTCATATCAATATTCATGTGCGTTAGATTAAAGCCTGTTGACGACCTAATTGAAAACAATATTGTTCACTTATATGTGTTATTCTAACTATAGCTGTGCTTTCGCAGATTGTCTACTGGAAAGATTTCTCCATTTTCAAACTACGTGAAGCATAATACCTGTAAGGTATTTCAATAAGTCATCTTACTGGATTGCAAATTTTGACTTTCATCCCGATATTGTTTGGTCACATAGTGCATTGAATGAATATCTCTGTATTTCACAAGCATATTGAGGTTGAAAAATCTACCTTGTTTGGTTTCTGATTCACTGAGGTTAGAATCTCATTTTGAACTGTTCCTGCTAAATTAGCTTTTAGACAACCGAATAAATTTATTAATCGTTTCAGCCCAAGCTAAACTATTGCTTATCTGTACAAGTATATGTCGTTATTTTTTGTGTATTAAGATATGTAGTGACCTAAACCAGATTACATAATGTGTTATATATGTTTGTGTATTTATATCAGTTCATAGCAAAGTAGTACATGTTTCCGTTTTTAAGTTTCCTTAAGAAAACACACTTTATTCCTTTTTATATTTTAAAGGTGTACTGATAAATTCAGATTTTTCTGAAATCTTAATGGTACGTGAAAAAGTGGGCCCTTCAGTAGGTTTCCGAGTAATCATTTGATCCAATATATTTTGTTTATAGTTTCGATGCTGGAAATTTCCTACTGGCCTTCTAAATGTAGGTGAAGATATTGGTTAGTTACTAACTAGACTTTTTCTATATTGTTTTCTGTACATTCATACGATAATACGTTGTATAAATAACTTGGAAAACATCACGGATCTTAAGGGTTTGGTGACGCTTTTATCTGTTTCACTGTAGGATTTAATTTTGTCCTACAGATGTAATTCTAAAAACGTAAACGCAAATGCCGCCGATGACAGAATCCAGAGTGAAACTATAGTTAACAGAAGACAATTTGGTTTTAAGCTTATCTGTTTCGGACAGTATAGCGTGTCTTTAGAAAATGAATAAAAACATGAGTCACAGCAATATAAATAAAATACTAACATCCTTCAATCGATAGACCATTCACAACAAAGAAAGGTTACAGACCGGTCAGACTATATATAGCATGGTGACCGCTTTACCAATCTGATTGGTTAGTTATGGCATAACTACAATTAGTTATGGAAATAACTAACACTCCCCCCGAAGCGGTCACCACGTCCAGACCTCGTTATCGCGGCGTTCAAGTAGTCAGCTTCCTCTAGTAGGCATAGGTTCCGTAGCCATCTACTCCAGAATAGATAAGCCAGTTTTTGAGCTTCAATGATCCAGAACTCTTCGCGAAGACTGTTCATGGTATGAGTAATACCAGAATGTGCGTTCTGTAGATGGAAGTGCATTACGATTAGGTCGGTAACAAAGTGCTTATTAGGAAGTATGAGTGGATGTTTGCTTTCGAAAGGTAAGCACGATAGTTGAAGTCGTCCTCCTACTCTAATCATGTTATCTACTCTCATTCTTTTACCAGTAGATATTAACTGGGGTATCATTTCCTTATTCGAAGCAAATCCATCTACTTTCGTCGGTCTTTCTCGAGATTCATATTTGTTGCCGCTCTCTTCATCATGCTGTATTTGCTTTAGTGCTTCCATCTCCATAGGGAATGAGGCCATTTGAACCAATTTGATTATATCCTGTTTCGCGCTATCGATTTCTTCCAGTCTCAACCTACCATAAACTAATGGTCTTCTGTCTAACTTCATCCTCATATTACGGGCGAACCGTTTACATAAAGCGAATATTCTCATCATTCTGAACCATGTCTTACAATCACTAAATCGATTCAAAAATTGGTCTGAGCAACTCTTCGTTGATGTCTCGCCTAGTTCTTCTATCGACAAGTGAGCTAAAACATGTTTCTCTTCTTCGGGTGGAGTCGGCCAATTACTTTCGTCTTGCCATAAAAATTTCGGTCTACGGAACCACTCATTTAGTTTGATGCTATCGTCTGACGACAAACCACGTGAAGCATAATCCGCAGGGTTATGTATACCTTTAACGTATCTCCATTGCTTTACCGTAGAAAGTTCATGAATCGTTGCTAACCTGGTGTTCACGAATCTCTCAAATCTTTTGGTTGTATTTCTTATGTAATGATATACAATTAATGAATCCGTCCAATAAGTGACAGAGGAGATAGGGATACGCAGTTGTTGTTCCACATGTTTTCCAATTTTAGCACATAGTACGGCCGCCGTTAATTCCATTCTGGGCATAGTGACAAGTCTTAGAGGAGCGACCCTAGATTTAGCTAGTAGAAACGAGCAGTGAGACTGGCCTGAAGCGCCTTCATATCGAATATACGTAACAGCACCATACGCAAGCTCTGAAGCATCGGCAAAACAATGGATTTGAATGGATGATGGTTCAAACTTTGGTTTTAGACATCTTGGTATTCTTAAGTGACCCAACTCCTTTATATGTCTACACCAAACATTCCACTTCGCTTGACAATCTATGGGTAGCTCTGCGTCCCAGTCTAATTTCTGCCGACAAGTGTCTTGAAGGATTATTTTAGCTGGTAGTATTGCGGGGGCTACGAACCCAATGGGATCAAATATAGATGCTACGTACGACAAAATATTTCTTCTGGTTAGGTTTCCATGAAACTCGTGAACTTTGAAACATAATTCATCTGTTCTAGTGTTCCACTCTAACCCCAGCGTTCGTTTACTCATCTCGTTTGATTCGCAGACGGCAATGCTTCCTTCGGTACGATCATTCTCCGGAATGAACTCCAGCACTTCAAGGTTGTTGCTCGTCCATTTAGTTAAGTTAAATCCTCCGACACTTAAGAGTCTTCTGAAATACGAATAAGTCAGTTTAGCTTCTTCTATAGTATCCACGCTTATCAATAAATCGTCCACATAGAACTGTTCCTTAGCTGCTTGCGTAACAACTTGGAAAAATTTATCTTGGTTATCGGAAATCGTTTTTTGCAGGGCAAACGTAGCGCAACATGGTGATGAGGTTGCTCCGAACAGATGGAATTTCATTCTTTAGACCTCTGGCTCTTTCTCCAAATTTCCACCTGGCTACCACAAATACCTAAGAACGTCTCGGTCGTGTATCGGGACCATTACTTGATGGAACATGGCTTCGATGTCTGCCGTAAGGCCAATTGGTCGTAGCCGAAACCTGGTTAAGACGTCTACTAAGGTAATAACTAGATCAGGCCCAGAATGAAGATTTTTATTTTGAGACGTTTCAGCGTACTGAGCCGTGCAATCGAACACTATTCTTAACTTATCGGGCTTCTTGGGATGAAAGACAGGGTGATGAGGAAGATACCATATTCGTCCATTAGAGTCTTTATCATCTACCTTCTCGGCGTAATCCTTTTCTATATATCGTGCCATAGTATTCACTAGTCTTGAAACAGCTTCGCATCCCTGACAAGACTACCTCTTAAACAGCTGAGTCTATGCTCTGCTAATTTTTTATTATTAGGCAGCTTATGTTCATGCCTCCACGGCAGAGCTATTTGGTAGTGTCCATTTAGCTTTTGAACTGAGCTTGATATAGCGTTGAATGCTATACGATCTTCAACAGACATCGATGGGGTAAGACTAAATGGGTCTTTGAATTCGGTTGAATACAACTGCTCAAACTTATCTTCTAGTTCGTCCTTAGCTGAGAGGTGATTAAGTGCATGATGGTTATCGCTGAATTCCTTGTAAGGACCGAACAACGTCCATTCCAATTAGGTCCTCACGGCAGACGGCTCAACTATCTTTCCAGTTCTCATCTCCTTCGTCTCGTGTACTCCCGGCACATTTCACCCGATCAACAGTTTAACATCCTCATCTTCTACTCTCGGGAAACTCACGTCCTTTAAATAGGACCAGGATGCCATTTGACGCGCCGTTGGTACAGTTCTGTGAACTGCCGGTAGTTTTCTGACTGTCAATACCTTCTGGATCTTAACAGATGATGAGAAGTCTATGGCGTGCAACTCTACATCTACCTCTTTAGATACCAATGACGATTCGTTATTTTTTTCAGCACTGTTGTTGTGTATATGATTTAACTGGAAATGAAAAGGGTCAAAATTATTACACCTCTGTTTATTAGCATCGGAATTATGAGCTCGGCAATGCTGTCGAATAACTGGCATTTCTCTTTCACCTGCAACTAGGTCGACTTCCGCTAAAGTTAACGTTTCTTTCTGTTTATCTTCAACTACTTCCTTAGCAGAATCTTCTAGATTTTTCGAATCCTTACAGTCTGTCTGAGAATCTGTAACAACGTTAGCCGATGCAGTAAAAGGACACGAAGCAGAATCATGACTTGTATATGATGATGTCCATAAATTAACCGAAGCATCTTTCGACACCTCAGCATTGACAACGCTTGATGAAATATTTGATCCGAGAACACAATCAGATCGAATGTCTTTCTTAGCTATAGCAAAACTTGATAGAACGGCAGGTGACTTAGCTAATTCATTTGATGCTTCGAGCGATGCGACGGAAGCCTCTGTGTGAGGAAAATAATGATTAGAAGGAGAACTAGAAAAATCCTGATCTGTCGATTTAATGCGGGGAGGGTTTCTTCCATTCTGGTTTATCTGAATTTTATCATGTTCACTGTTACTTTCCATAATAAACAAATTTGATTTCTTCTCGGAAACGGCCACAACTTGTTTACGATATTCTCTTCCTTTTTGACGTAAGCGTTCTAACTCAATTTCCTTCTCTATATGAGCTAAACGTATTTTTGCTAATTCTAACTCTAACAAAGGATCTATTCGGTAGCTATTTCTTCTAAACTGGTCTTCACTGTGAGTTTCCGAGCGAAATGTTTGGTGTAGACATATAAAGGAGTTGGGTCACTTGAGAATACCAAGATGTCTAAAACCAATGTTTGAACCATTATCCATTCAAATCCATTGTTTTGCCGATGCTTCAGAACTTGCGTATGGTGCTGTTACGTATATCCGATATGAAGGCGCTTCAGACCAGTCTCACTGCTCGTTTCTACTAGCTAAATCTAGGGTCGCTCCTCTAAGACTTGTCACTATGCCCAGAATGGAATTAACGGCGGTCGTACTATGTGCTAAAATTGGAAAACATGTGGAACAACAACTGCGTATCCCTATCTCCTCTGTCACTTATTGGACGGATTCATTAATTGTATATCATTACATAAGAAATACAACCAAAAGATTTGAGAGATTCGTGAACACCAGGTTAGCAACGATTCATGAACTTTCTACGGTAAAGCAATGGAGATACGTTAAAGGTATACATAACCCTGCGGATTATGCTTCACGTGGTTTGTCGTCAGACGATAGCATCAAACTAAATGAGTGGTTCCGTAGACCGAAATTTTTATGGCAAGACGAAAGTAATTGGCCGACTCCACCCGAAGAAGAGAAACATGTTTTAGCTCACTTGTCGATAGAAGAACTAGGCGAGACATCAACGAAGAGTTGCTCAGACCAATTTTTGAATCGATTTAGTGATTGTAAGACATGGTTCAGAATGATGAGAATATTCGCTTTATGTAAACGGTTCGCCCGTAATATGAGGATGAAGTTAGACAGAAGACCATTAGTTTATGGTAGGTTGAGACTGGAAGAAATCGATAGCGCGAAACAGGATATAATCAAATTGGTTCAAATGGTCTCATTCCCTATGGAGATGGAAGCACTAAAGCAAATACAACATGATGAAGAGAGCGGCAACAAATATGAATCTCGAGAAAGACCGACGAAAGTAGATGGATTTGCTTCGAATAAGGAAATGATACCCCAGTTAATATCTACTGGTAAAAGAATGAGAGTAGATAACATGATTAGAGTAGGAGGACGACTTCAACTATCGTGCTTACCTTTCGAAAGCAAACATCCACTCATACTTCCTAATAAGCACTTTGTTACCGACCTAATCGTAATGCACTTCCATCTACAGAACGCACATTCTGGTATTACTCATACCATGAACAGTCTTCGCGAAGAGTTCTGGATCATTGAAGCTCAAAAACTGGCTGATCTATTCTGGAGTAGATGGCTACGGAACCTATGCCTACTAGAGGAAGCTGACTACTTGAACGCCGCGATAACGAGGTCTGGACGTGGTGACCGCTTCGGGGGGAGTGTTAGTTATTTCCATAACTAATTGTAGTTATGCCATAACTAACCAATCAGATTGGTTAAGCGGTCACCATGCTATATATAGTCTGACCGGTCTGTAACCTTTCTTTGTTGTGAATGGTCTATCGATTGAAGGATGTTAGTATTTTATTTATATTGCTGTGACTCATGTTTTTATTCATTTTCTAAAGACACGCTATACTGTCCGAAACAGATAAAGTTTAAAACCAAATTGTCTTCTGTTAACTATAGTTTCACTCTGGATTCTGTCATCGGCGGTATTCGCGTTTACGTTTTTAGATTTACATGCTCTTTTCAATTATATGAGAAATCAGGAATAAAGAAGGTCAAAAGTATAGTCGGTATGTAAACACCAACGATAAATCAATAAGTCCTCTTTTCTTAGTTGTTCCAACTACCCATACGATTTTTATCTCCATGGCAAATAATATGCATTGGAAGAATCAAGAGAAGTAGTGTATGTTCGCATTCTCGAGCATGTTCCAGAGAATTCGAAACTAACTGTAAACAGTGTGAAAAATCTCATATCTTCTAACCATAATATTCATCATACTTTTTCTATGTGTGTTTGCATATAGCGCAGGCAGCAGTTAGAGAAATGCTAGAAGAATGCGGAATTCATACAAAATTTTGTGGAGTTATAGCTTTTCGACAACAGCATAACTTTCCTGAAGCTTTTGGAATATCCGATTTGCTATTTACCTGTCGACTTAAACTTTCCGATGATATGCCTGAGCCAGTTATTAAGATCTGTACTCAAGTAAGAATAAATAATCTTGCTGAATTAACCTCACTACTTCAGTTTCTTATATTTCAATTCTACTTTACGTTTTGCTGTACACACTTCAGCCTTGCACAGTGCAAGTTATTCTCCAACACTTGAGCCTAATGTTTTCAGTTTACTAGTTTTTTTTTTTACAAAAGAAATAGTTTAAACTATTTGAATTTTGTAAACTTACATAATTGTATTCCTTGACATAGATCACACTTTTTACTGGTGACAGTACTTGGTTGTCTTTGAAGATGATATCTAGTTTTTGCAACAATGTAATACAGGAATAACATAGAGATAGTCACTAATACATGTAGAAGTGATAAATCATCATTTCAACGTGGTTGGATTATGCACGCTTGTGATTTTATAATTTGTGTACAACTAACTAATAGTGAGATGAAAAAGTGCAAAAAGAGTAAAACCTACTCATAAGTAATATAATATTATAAGTGTTACTTTATGTTACAATGAACATGTTTGGGTTTCAGTTTCCATACTGAACATAAACACTTGTGAAGTATTTCCACTCGACTTATTTACAAGCTAAAATTTCATCGTAAATAACATGTATTTTGTAACGATTATCTTTCTCAATATTTGTGTACTCCATATTATCAGTCGCAATTACTATTACTCTCAACAGTGTATAATTTTCAGAATTCAAAACTAACTCAAGAACAGCCTATCTCAAAAACAGATCAAATTAAACAACGATCAAACAGAATAGACGAAATGAATTTATGAGTATAGTTTGGTTAGCCAATAAATATGCATGCGTATATTGTTGTGAGGATAAAGTCATAATACCTATTCTTCACGTTTCATGAATCATTTTATTTTTGACTTTTAATGCTTTATAAAATGAACTAGTATTTCACCTGTATATATTTTACCAGTTTGATGTGTACACTGCACTATAATCAAAGTTAATCTGGTATCATTGTACTTGTTGCGAAACGTATAGCTATTGATTTGAATACTCTTCCATCTCTGTGGTCTCTGTGATGAGAACCAGAAACAGATAATATCAGTACACCCACGACCGATTCGGAATTCATTGTCATGTTAACCTGTCTCATTTAAAGTATTGATTCGCATACAGAAAAGTAATAAATCAATAAAACACTTTGTATTTTATTCTTTAGGAAATTGCAGAATGTAAATGGATCCCGATAGCACAACTCTTATCAGCCAATATTCATACAGGTGTATCCACACCAGTCAACCATGATCAAGACCAATTAAACATCACAACATTTACTCATAAAATTGTTCAACTCATTATGATGAATCATTCAAAAAGTGGTGATTATTTATCATCTAATGAATTCATTCCACATAGATTATTATCTGTTCGAAATGATAAAGTGTATGACCTATTTCTTCCACGTAACTTTAATTTGGATTGAATCTTTAAATGTTATATTTTAAATTTAAAAGAATAGTAATAGTTATCTTCAAATATCTTTATTCAAATACATTTAATTTTAAATTATTGATAAAATTAATTTTGTGATATTATTATCGTTAGCTTAACCTTATTTTAGATAATGTACTTGTTTTATACTTCATATCGATTAGCTTTATTTAGCTTTCTAAATATTGACTATTTCATATAAAATCAGGTCACTTTTCACAAAACAACTCATCAAGATTTTGCTGTTGTTTTAACTCATCTTAAATGGTATAGTGTAATGTTCTAAATACCATAGCGCTTGTACATTACTCATATAAATAATCGAACTCGGACATACTAAAGCATGTTTCAATGTTCTTTATGATTAAATCATATTGACTCACACACCGAATAGTTGATTAATCTGTGAAACACTAATCATTGGCTATAATAATTAACTAATTTTCTGTATACTTTTCACAGAAGTTTCACGTGAACATTTTTTATAATGAATTACAGAAACAAAAAAATGAGACGACCATATTTAGTAATGGGTGCTGTGTTTATGTATTCGTGACTGAATAGAATTGTTGTGTTTAAATGCTATATTCTTTTTCTATTGATACAATGCACATATGAATCGATAAATTAGGATAGTATGATATGTTTGTACAGACAAAATAATTTAATTACTTTCTTCCATTCCTAGTGCACATTATGTGTAGCGATTTGATCAGTTATTTGCTAACTGTGAAATAATAATTGTTCAGATGTTTTCAGTGTTCTACGTACGTATGTACATGCGAAAAGCTTGCACCAGCCTTTATTGGTTATGAAATTCTACTTTTCTGTGTACATACTTAAAATGCCTATTTTTCTGTCTAATGTAACTAAACCAAATGAATGACTTATCAAACCTTAATTATTAATCTACTAAGCAGGATTACTAAATTATATTGTTGAATTTCACTTAGATTATGACTGAAAGAATGTTTTGTGGAGCGATAATTCAGCGATTAGACCGTTCGAGTTTCGGTCACTAATTTTTAGTTTCAAACCCTACTTCATTCAATGAAGTTTGAACAATCAAATTGTTTCATTAGCCTTTACGTTTAGAGTTTGGATCACAGCCAACTATTTGTTGAATAAGTGAATAAATAAAAAGCATTATTTATTTTACAAAATATTGTGGTGTGAGCTACTTATACGTAGTATATGACGTGAGTGTCAACGTAATGTCTGGTAGCATAATATGGGGGAAGATCAAGAAAGGAAGAGTTAGAAAACAATGGAATTTGTATGAAACGCATGAACAGTGACATTGGATTGATGTTTTGCAGCAAGAACAGTCCAGTTCGATATGATGAAGTGATATTTTGCAAATGAACGATTTACGATATGGTTTTCCAATTTTACTGAGTAACTCTGTAATTTTCGTTAGACACAATTCGGTCTCCCCACCTGTGTTCTCGTTCACTACAATATGACCTTTCTTTTTCGAGCTCCAGGCTGACTGTTCCTACCTGAAATTCTATATATTTTCTGTATATCAATAAGCTCTACGTGAGCTTTTTTCTAATATTCATATATGTTGTTGCTGTGACTACTTACACGCACTTCTCGATAATTAAATGTGATTCGCGGTTATGTAAGCTGATATGCTGTATATTTTTCCGTAACTTGTACACTGAAGTCGAGTAGTTGAAAGATATCAAATCGAAAAGTTATCGTTGATTCTGTGTAGTAAACTTACTATTTTATCTAATTTAGTATAATAGAACAATGTGACCCAGTGGTTTGATTTATTTTCAATAAAACATTTAAACTAATAAATTTCTCAATATGAACAAGTGGTGAGTTAAAATACTTACAACAAATAAATTACTTACAAATCTCATAAATTTGATAAGTTGAGTTAGCTGTTTGTATCAGCCCATCAAATATAGAGTGGAAAATGTTTCTAAATAAGAATAACCACTTCATTCAGCTGAGAAATCACAACTCCAACATAACTGACTGTGTAAATAAACCCACAAAAGATCTTTCTAGTAATAAATACTAATAATTTTCATCACTACCACATTGATTGACCAGGCTGAAAAATCATTCAGTGAATTCATTGAAGTCTGATAAACAGAACCAACTATCACTCCTTAATTTAGTACCAGTCTAATTAAGTAGGTCAGTGGTGATTTATAATGTTGATAAGAAGTTTATGAATTGTATTCAAAAAACTTATCAAGACTTGATTGACCTTTGGTACTAAATGACGAACTTATGACAAGAAAATTGTTGTTCTCTGACAAGATATTTCCCATGGTTAGAAAGAATGCTACTTGAATATCTTTATAATTAAGTCAAACACACTACTTTGTAGTGCTAGAGTTACTGAAGTCTACTAACTTGATGATAGACTTTTCTTAATCATCTGTTTAAATACGAACAGCATAAACTACATCACTCTGTGGTTCATCTCCCGCTACCGGAATTGTGTAATGTAAATTCATTCACTCCTTGCAGCAGGTCAGTGTGTAGTTCATTTACTTTACTCAGAACTTTAGCAGACAATTTACAAAATCAATCAAATGGTTCTCAGTAAAAGCGTTAGAAGAATTCACGTTGTGTTTAATTTTGTAACGTTATTGTTGTGATTAGATTTCACAAAACTGTTAGAGCTTTACCATTTGGGACCAAACAATTCAAGACCAGTATAGATGAAATGTGTTTACCAACCACCACATAGTACTCATATGTACGTACATTAGTTACAGTTGCCATACCACATTAGCACAGAGATGCAATTGTCAGTCGAACTCCCACAGTAACACAGGTTGTAGCAGTGTTAACGGAAAGGATTAGCGACCGATCATACGATTCGAGAAGTACAATCCAGTGAAATAAATTGGAAAGAGAAAAATAAAGGTCATGAGGAATTCAGAAGAGATTAGAATTTGAGAGAAGACAAATAATGAATGTACATGCACCATTGCGAACGATTTTAAACCATGTCATTTAAAGTCTCTAACCATCGTTTACTATTGTCTCACGGACCCCAACTAAGTCGTCTACACCTATGAACATGGGTCAGTCCACTTGTCAGTGACTTCATGGATTTCTGCCATGTTTTGGTTTGACCGACCCCATCCTACTCCTACATCAGACAACAATGGTTGTCAAGGCAATCCGTAGTTATGCTTACGTAACATATGTCTCAACCACCGCGACTGATGAAGTTTCACTACATCTTTTGATCTGCGTCCTTACCTAGTACCCTTTTCCTAACGACAGCATTACTTACTCGATTGTCCCGGGATATACTGGCAATGCTTCGACGACACCTATGGTCGAATATTAATAATCTGCGAATATCCTCCATTCTTAGTGATTATGTTTCACATCCGTATAGTAGCAACGAGCGAACTGTGGTTCAATAAACTCCTCCTTTGGTTAGCTGACGGTATCTAGTCTACGCCTTAAATGACGTAAGTTCGCAACAGCCAGTTGAGCCGTCTGTATCTGTGTCGAGATTTCGTCTCTCACCAGACCAACAGGGCTGGAAGTAACGCGTAAATCTTACACATTATCAAAGCATCTTCGTACAAAAGAACGGCAAGCAAAATGTGAGAGTTCGGTATGTGGGTGAAAATGTGTTATGATGGCACTATTATTTTGCATACAGAGATTCGATGCATCTTGATCAGTAGAGTGAGTGTTTGACCGTGCAATGCTTCCTACTATTTGATGATACGCTTATCAAGACAACAGCAATCCAACATTAAATTAGTCATAAGTGGAGTTAAAAATGACATTTACTAGTGACGCGTAATACGTAAGAAATTGACGTCAGATGTTACAATTGCTAAAATAGTAGAAAATTTTCTATAAGCCAATTGATGCCAAGTGAGTGGGTGAGTAGACTAAATCATTACGATAATCAGAGTTGAAAAGTGTGTGGTATTGGATACATATGATTTTTCTCAGTAAATATGAATTAGTCATCCTTAACTCAATGAATCATGACAAATATAGTTACTAAATGTTGAATAACAACTTCACGTTGCTTCATCAACCTACCAATTTTCCAATATTGATGTTCTAGCGAGTCCACGCCCAAATTCGCCGTTGGTGATGTTCTGGGAACGGCTCTTATGGTGTAAGTAACGACGGTATGGATCTGCTACCTAGAGAAAGACTTTTCGACCTTGGATATGCTGATGATATTGTCTGACTGTGTGAAGATACCCAGGTGGTGCAGTTTGTATTCAATCAGTCAGATATCAGTGTTCATAGGTATAGCAAGTACTTTGTAGCTTCTAAGAGCAGAAGTACTTTCTAAGAACTGGCAGGACTCACAAGGATTTAGAAAAATAAATTTATACCGAAACTGGTAGTTTAGGGTAGAGAAATAAAGTGTGGAAGGTACATCTAAGTTAAAATAATTTTGGGATAAAACAGAGTATGAAAAGGAACTATACATTAACAAAAAGCTTAACATTTACAGAATAAGATAGGAAAAAAATAAATGCTAGTATTTAGCAAGTTTGAATTAGGTACAATAATGTCTCCAAAATAAGCTTCTATTGTTTGTCATTGTCTCTTGTTTCCCTCTTCACAACGCTAAAATTCAGTGGCAAGACCATATTAGCAGTGCAGAGACTCGATAGCTTTGTTCAAGCACTGTGACGATAATTCCATCGGTTTCAACATCCTGAAACCCTGGATTCAGTGGCTTAGAGACTAATTAACCATTTCGTCCCAGCGAGTTCCACATCGCGCATTATTCTCCAACCCTAGGACTGCTTGGAATTACTTACTTACTTACTTTCGCCTGTTACCCCAAATGGAGCATAGGCCGCCCACCAGTTTTCTCCAACCAACTCTGTCCTGGGCTTCTTCCTCCAGTTCTGTCCAATGTTTGTTCATTCCTCTCATATCTTTCTCTATTTCACGGCGTAATGTATTCTTTGGCCTTCCTCTTTTCCTTTTGCCTTGAGAGTTCCATGTGAGGGCTTGTATCGTGACGCAGTTAGGTGCTTTTCGTAGAGTGTGCCCTATCCACTTCCACCGCTTCTTCCTGATTTCCTCTTCCACTGGAATCTGACTTGTTCTCTCCCACAGTTCGTTGTTGCTGATGGTGTCTGGCCATCGAATACGAAGTATTTTGCGTAGACAACTGTTAATAAACACTTGTATCTTCTGGATGATGGCTTTGGTAGTTCTCCATGTTTCCGCTCCATACAGTAGAACTGTCTTGACATTTGTATTGAAGATCCTGATTTTGGTTTTGTTTGAAAGTTGTTTGGAGTTCCAGATATTTTTCAACTGTAGAAATGCAGCCCTTGCTTTGCCAATCCGCGCCCTCACATCCGCGTCTGATCCACCTTTCTCGTCGATGATGCTGCCAAGATATGTGAAGGTGTTAACGTCCTCCAAGGTATCTCCATCAAGCGTGATTCGGTTGGTGCATGTTGTGTTGCATCGGAGAATTTTGCTTTTTCCTTTATGTATGTTGAGACCTACTGCTGCAGAGGCTGCTGCTACACTGGTCGTCTTCTCTTGCATTTGTTGTTGAGTGTGCGATAGAAGAGCCAGGTCATCTGCGAAGTCCAGATCGTCCAGCTGCGTCCTAACTGTCCAGTTGATACCGTGCTTCCCTCCAGATGTTGACGTCTTCATAATCCAGTCGATGACCAGGAGAAAGAGAAAGGGTGAGAGTAAGCAACCTTGCCTGACACCGGTCTTCACCTCAAAAGAGTCTGTCAGCTGACCTCCGTGTACGATTTTGCAGTTGAATCCATCATAAGAATTCCGTATGATGTTGACTATTTTCTCAGGCACACCGTAGTGTCGAAGAAGCCTCCACAGTGTTTTCCTATCCACGCTATCGAATGCTTTCTCGTAGTCGATGAAGTTGATATAGAGTGGTGAGTTCCATTCAATTGATTGTTCCACAATGATCCGTAATGTAGCAATTTGGTCAGTACACGATCGATCCTTACGAAATCCAGCCTGTTGATCTCGAAGTTGGGCGTCTACGAAGTCCTTCATTCTGATTAACAATACTCTGTTGAAGACTTTGCCTGGTATTGAAAGAAGAGTGATGCCTCTGTAGTTTTCACACTTGCTGAGATCGCCTTTCTTTGGTATTTTGATGAGGTATCCTTCTTTCCAATCTGATGGTACTTGTTCCTTATCCCAAATCTTGTTGAAGAGAATGTGAAATATTTTCGCAGTTGCTTCCACATCTGCTTTCATTGCCTCTGCTGGAATGTTGTCTGGTCCTGCTGCTTTGCCGCTCTTGATTTGTCTGATGGCTATACTGATCTCCTCAATCGTAGGTGCGCCAATATTGATTGGGAGGTCCGTGGATGCTGCTTCGATGTTGGGTGGGTTCAGTGGAGCTGGTCGATTCAATAGTTCCTTAAAGTGCTCCACCCACCTATTTCGCTGTTCGTCAGTGTTGCTGATTATTTTCCCTTCCTTGCTTTTCACTGGTCGTTCTGGTTTACGATAGTTTCCGGCGAGCTTCTTTGTAGTTTCGTACAATTGTCTCAAGTTTCCTTCTCTTGCAGCCTTTTCCGCCGTCATTGCTAGATAATCCACATATTTTCGTTTGTCAGCTCTGATGCTCTTCTTCACTTCCCTGTTTGCTTCTGTATACTCGGCTTGCGCCTTAACTTTCTCTGCTCTTGTTCGGCAGACATTGATAGCTGCCTTCTTGTTCCTCCTTTCTTGAATTTTTTCAAGAGTACCAACAGAGATCCATTCCTTGTGATGGTGCTTCTTGCGACCAAGGACCTCCTGACATGTTGAAGTGATTGCCTCCTTAATCCCTTTCCAATTGTTCTCCAATGTTGCTTCCTCTCCATTGAGTAGATCCTGAAAGGCCTGGAACCTATTGGTGAGGGCTATCTTGAATTCGTTGAGTTTTACGGTATCCCGAAGAAAGGCCGTATTAAACTTCTGTGATGTTGTCTGCCCCGCTGTCCAGTGCTTCTTTAGCTTCAATCTCATTTTGGCGATCAGCAAGTGGTGATCTGAAGCTATATCAGCTCCTCTCTTGGTTCTCACATCCTCCATGGTCCTTCTGAACTTTTTGTTGATACAGATATGGTCGATTTGGTTTTGAGTAGTGTGGTCCGGTGAAATCCATGTGGCTTTGTGAATGCGTTTGTGCGGGAATATTGTGCCACCGATGACCAGTTTGTTGAAGGCACTGCTTGGAATTAGCTGATGGGTAATCAGTTTAGTATATGATTTCGCGGTATGAAAGCAAGATGTACAGAACTGGTCCTTCAGGACTCTCTGGTTAGGATCCTAGTAATGGTGCAACTCAGTGACTTGAGAATTTTTCAGATATTGCTCAGAATAGAATGTAGTGGGAGTCTTGCTATAATTCTATTTCATCCTCTTCACATGAGTAAAAGTAACTTCTTTAACTGGTTGTATTTTCCTTAACTAAACTGTTTCTTTCATTGTTGTTACAATTATTTCGTTCTTATACACCACTTTTTATTCATTTCTACCTTGTTATATTCACCGTTCTTTCTCTATCAACAATCTTATCTTAATTGTGTGTTTTATTTAGTCTCACATGCGGAATTTTGCTAGTTCGTGTATAAATCAAGCAACATTTCAACAAATTTCTAACCGACAATGAGATTTAACCGTAATACCTTTAAACAAATGATGATTGTGTTTGAGATTTTTCTTTCTCTTTATTGATATCATCATATTTCCTTATTAAACTTCACAAAACAGTTCAATAATTTCGGAACATGGCGTCAAATGTTAATGTTATATCATAATCGAACAAAACGTTTAAATGTTTAACAATTTCATAGGTTTGTGGCCTCACTTCCTCTTTAACTAACTCAATTTAAGAAATGTAAACTAGTCTATTCAAATGATTAGCTAAATAAAGATATGTTTGGCAAAAAATTATTCAACTTAAGGTTCGATTCTCTGTGTGATCTTTAGCAAATCTTACCTAGTAGTCTTAATTCTGGGCAAAGAAAAGGCATTTTAGCTGATGCAAGATTTCTAATACTTAACCAAATGGTCTTAGTCGCCGGTACAGATTATCTTTAAATGAGAGTCACTTTTGCATCCATATAGTTAAATTGCATCTAATTTGTTATGTTTCTTATTTTCTAATGAATGATAGACGAAATTGTTATGGTTTTCTACGTTTGTGTTTCATTGAAAGATGTAATGATAAACAAAAATGTATGTTTCTTCTAGGGGCAAGATAATCAATTTTAGCAGTACAATTCATAAGGTTAACTAAAATCAGCCTCTACCTAACAAGAAGGATGAATAAAGATTACATTAAATTTCGTTTCCTTACATTTATTCGGTCACAAAAGAAAAAAACACCCAAAAAGGTCATCATAATTCATTCCTGTAGTTCTATAATTTATGTATACAAAAATCTGACCTAATATCAGCTAATTCAGGTTTCTAGTTTTCCAGGTTTGTTAATTAATTTATTTAGTAGAAAAAAATATTCTTTAGTGAATACGAAGGGCTGACTTTTTTAGTTAAGTAACTAATGGAAACTAAAGAACACTGGACTTCTGTTTTATTCTAGTACAGGATTTCGTATCTGTACCCTACCCACGCACTAAATAGGGAGCAACTGATTAGTAATTCGGTCCATAAAATGACTTGGAAACATTTACAGAGCCATATGAAAGGAACATATTATTACGTAAACCTACAAATCATATGGATGGTTGTTTTACTAATTTGAAACTGCTTAGTGTCATGTATTTACAATCTGCCATGTAGCTAAAGCTAAATTGTTCATGTTTTTATTCAACATTCATTCTCATTATGTTTCTGACAAACATTCAATGTTTTACTACTAAGTGATAGTACTAGTGATAAACTTTATTTTTAAATGTTCAAGTACACAGCTCTTTAATTCAGTACATTTGGTTCGTAAACAATGCAATCAGACGATAAAGTTTATTAGCATAGTTCTATTAAACATCACCATTTCACTTAATTATCTAATGTTACATGTTAAAACGTGTTAGTCATTTCAACCAATTATTGAAAATTCATTGTATACCAGAGTAAAACTTTTAAGTTAATTACACAGATTGTGAATCAAGTATGAGCAGCTTTCATTTTATTAACTAGTCTCTGTTTATTGATTTTGTATACAATTTACTCTCTAGGTTACATACCTAAAACATAAAACGAAGGATGAACATTTATTTATGCTTTACTTATGCCTTAATATACTAATTTTTTAACCTGAACGAACTCCTAATGAGTAGAAACTAGAATTTTTGAAGTTCCACTGTTCAGTTTAAGTCATTCCTTCAGAGAGTAAATGAATAGCCGGAAAAAATAAACACAAGATAACTCTCTGAAGAACCGATTTAAATTAAGTCGTGAAACATCAGATATCCTAGGTTCTCTTCATTATGCTATTACAGACGTGTGATTAATTTGGTATAAGCAACCTACTCACCCACTCCCCATTTATCTGAGATTGTCAAATAAAACCTTACTAATGATACTCGAGTTTTTAGTTGTCATACCAAAACCTACTAAAATAATTTGTTTTGAAAACGGTTACATGAAGCCACTATTTCAAACACATTTCGTACAACAAAAGTTCTTATTAGATTGTTTTGCACAACAAAAAACATGTGATTTAAATGAATCATTCACTGCACAGTCAGACTCATATCTAACTTACTATTGGTTTTTTCGTTACCATTTAATAGTAGGACACATTACAATTTTTCTATGACCAATCACTTGTTGACCAATCGCGTCTACCCGATCGATTTATCTTATAACTGAAAATCTTATTGGTTCACAGAAAGTTATTTGAAGCACGGTTGTTTTGTTGGTGAACATTAATTCGTCTCGCAAAAGAATGGCCGGTTTAATAAGTCAAGCACTATACAATTGGAAGGATACAAACCTTGCACTTTTTGGGTCTGATGTAGAAAGAGCTGTAAAAAGTGAGTATTAAAATCATTTTATTAATAACGTCAATTCTATAACATCATTTCAGTAATTACTGGTTTGGTTTCGATTATATTTTTTATCCTCTAATGTTTAGTCTTTAACTCAGGCTTTAGTTTAAGATTTTCTAGATGTTGGTAATAATTATCGATGGGACAAATCGTATTATAGCTATAGCGACGTATTATTCGGTCCGGTTTACTTTCAGATAAAGTCAGGGTTAGAAGCCGAAGAGGACTAGGATGACTGATATAGAGACGGATCAGTCAAACTTAGAGTTACGAATTCTGGAGCAAAATTCACTCGTCATTAGTTAAATCCAAGTTAGGTATTGTAGCTAATATCAGTTCGTGATGCAAACCTTAATTCTAATTATTAACCCTGACTCATTCTCAACCCTAATTTTTCATACTAATTAATAATCATTTTTTGATCCTTGTAAGTAGTAGGTGAATCTTCTCTGGGTCACTTCAGGATCTCACAGACGTCTTCCATTTACTACGGTCATGCCGCGTAATAAAACGCGACTTAGACAATATGTTAGCCATCTAAATACAAATACTACATGTACGTAGCATTCCGAGGGTTTGAGTGCGTTATTAAGCATACAGTCTAGTCCTTATGTATCAGTTTAAACTGAAGTACACTGCATTTAATAGTATGAAAATCTAGTCCTTGCTTTTGGTACACTCCTTCATGGACCTTGATTGTGTGAACCGCCAACTTCGCACCACACAAATACGTCCATAACTTGGACAAAACATCAACAATATCAAACGCGAGACAGGTATTACCAATGGCATTAGATAGTGGTCGTACATTATCATGCGTTGAATAAAATACTGATTGCAAACTCGACAATATCATGGTAACATGTTCACTAAAAGACATATATATATATATATATATATATATATATATATATATATTATAAACTGAAAATGTCATTACTGAAGTCTATGCTTCAGCTGTATTGGGATATTTAAGTATGACTGATAATTGTAACTATTTGCTCAACTATAAGCTATTTTCCAGTTATATATTGAAAGCCTAATGAATGGATAAAATAATAAACTACTGATTTATAATTTCTTTGATTTGTTTGCAGAGGAATCTGCTGAGAAAGAGCCAGCATGGGGACCGGTACGGTCGATTACTTCCCCTACCCTAATGGTCTGGCGAATTAAGGTAATTCTTGATCTTCTCTACATGTGATAATCCCTAATAGCTTCCTAATTATTGCACTCGTTTATGGTCCTTTCCTTTTAATTTAGTATTCTCTTCATAAATCTTAGGTCAAATATCAAACTTGATCAACTGTTTCTGTACACACCGGCTTTGAACTGTTTTGAATTCTGAGCTAGTTCCATCATCTTTATCAATTTCAGTTTTTGTGATAATTAACTATAATCACATCATCATCATCATCAACAACAACATGGAATTTTTCACTTAAGTACAGCAGTCTAAGTTGCCATACCACATTAGCACAGAGATAGAATTGTTATTTCAAATTCCATAGTTGTAGAGGTAGTAAAAGTATTAGAAGTAATCGGAGAGATTAGGATTCGGAGATGTTATTCAAGAAGTATAATTCAGTAAGAAACTATAATCACAAACGATAATAATAGTATATGTATAAACGTATTTTAGTAATCCACATAGTACTAATTTCAAGAGCTTCTTATCGCTACAAAAAGTAACTTCATTTATGTTTGGTGGGAGTAATTTATTAGAAAGCGGTTGAAATAACTGGAATAGATTTCCATAATAATAAATTATGGTATATGTAAAATGAATAAGTTTTCATTTGTAATTGTTAGCCTACACGTAACTGTCATTATTGCAGAAATTTTTACCTTTCGTCTGGATTGTTACGTAATTTGAAATATCAACCTTTTTTCTAGAATTCCTCTATTACTTATTAAATAAATATTCTACAATTTGAACACCTGTTATAATTCTTCCATATTTATGATCATTTTGTTAATCATTCTAGACGAGAATGATTAATACTATTTACATTTAGTTTGTATACAGCTGATAAGAAACAGTTAGATAAAGTGAATGCAGGTTATCTTGTTACATTTGTCATCGAACGTCTATAAGGTAAATATGCGGAATACCAAACTACAGTGTATCACCAAAATTATACTTGACGCAAACTGAATTTCATACTAAACCAAAGTCACACCAAAATAGTAGGAAAAAAAAATTAGACTGAATAAATTTCACACTGAACTAAAACAAGAGTATTACTGTACAAGAATCACATTGAGTTAGGGCGTGGTCTTACCATGCTTCGATAATAGAGCTTGTTGGAATGAATTCATTTATTCGTTTGTGGTGTGTAGGACATAGTTAGGTTGTCAGATTTTCTGGAGATAAGTTCTGTTTCTGAGTGGGTTTCGTGACGGATCAAATTCAATTTAGTTATAATTGAGAATCAAAGAAGACGGCATGTTTTTCTGCAATATGATAGTGTTATGGAAATTTTTTTGGATTAATGGTGTTTAAAATAATTTACCTTGTTGAGAAACCTAATTAACGCAGTGAGATGACGTAGTTTATCGCAAATGTATGCTATACAAGGTGATATAATGAAATAAATTCATACACCATCATAATTCATTAGCCCAGTCATGTTGGAGTAACTAGCTTTGTTCATTTCACCGATAAGGCAATGCAACTTTATGATACATTCGTGTACCAGTTAAAAACTCCAACTTCAATACGGCGAACGAGATTACTTCTATCCTTTTACTGCCTACCCACTTACTAAAGTAAAAAGTCCAGTATACTCATAAACTTTGTTGGTCAATATCCTAGATGAGTCAAATATGATTCAAGTTAATTGATTATTAATTACAAGATTTGTTTACCTGAGTACTTTTGACTGAAAACGACATGACAATCAAATAATCAATACAGGGGGAATGGATTGAGACTAAATGCATCGACAGTTGACCGACCGAAGCTGCTACCTTGACGTGGTTGTCGGGCTTGACTATCGTGATGACCCAACCGAGCTATATTGGCTGGAACATATGTTCCTGCAGGTCCTACCATGCCAGGCAGGTCGATTGGAGAACGATGAGAGTAAAAGCAGCTACTCAATGTCTGAAGGCGAAGTCGTACTGCTGACTGCAGAGGGGTGTGACAGCAGTAATGTGTTTCCCTCGGACAACCAGCATGTGCAGCGATGCTACCTTCTCACAAGGAAGGAAGGGTTAGAAAAGGTCGACCCTAAAAATGTCACACCTCCCCTACCTCACGGATTTCCGTCTCCTTGGGTAAGGGTGCCCACTAAGGGCTTTCAAGAGCGGAGCTAACCCTCAAAAAGGCCGTATGTGACCGGCCTCAAGCAGTTGTCCCTTGGGCTCTGCGGTCACGCTCCCAGGTCTCCAAGACCAACACCGATGTATCTTCCTTTTCAGGTCCCTCAAGAAACAACCTTCCACGGTGTGGGCAGCCGAGAAGTGATAACCGCCCTCATACCCGTAACAGCACGAGAGACCAAATTGGTCAAAATCAAATCCTTCCTACACCCACAAATACCTCTCTTCTCTCCGCAACTAACTCTACTCACATTCCCTTATCTGACTGCACCGCTAATGCAAACGATGCGAGTTCGCGAAACGTCGTTTCTGGTCTCCTTAAACCCCGTTCTACACTACATGTTAGAGCATTTAATGTACGGACATTGTGTCAAATAGGGCAACAGGTATCACTAACTAGAACTTAAGAATCTCGTGCCATCGATGTGTGCTGCGTCTCGGAAACGCGCATGCAGGATCCGAGTAGCATCATTCGCTTGACCTCGCCATGTCAAGATAAAGCAACTCGATTTACCCTTCGTGTATCCGGTAGCCCTGATTCTGCTTCCCGGGGTCTCGCTGGTGTAGGTATAGCATTGATTCGTAGGGCAGAACAATCTCTCCTTGACTGGATCCCAGTCGATAGTCACTTGTGCGCTGTCCGACTAAACGGGACAGTAAGAATTAGAAAGAACAGGGACACTCGTCGTTGCCTCTTCGTCATATCAGCCTACGCCCCCACTGACTGCAGTCCAGACGATGTGAAAGATGATTTTTACAGAAAGCTTTCTGACCTCCAAAAAGTTAAGCGCTCTGATATAGTTATAATTGCTGGTGACTTCAATGCTCAAGTTGGTAGACTGAGTGAAAATGAAAGACATCTGGGTGGATATTATGGTGTTGCGGCTCAAAGAACATACAATGGTGGCCGTCTGTTGCAACTATGCTCAGATAGCAAACACTTATTTTAAGCATAAGGAAAAACATCTTTTGACCTGGCGACCCCCGAAGTCGTCTCAACGTTGGACACAACTAGATCATATCGCCATCAGCCACCGACGGAAGGGTTCGATAGAGGAATACCGCTCGTTGTGGGGCACATGTTTAGATTCAGATCATGCCCTAGTGCGAGCACGTATTTGTTTGAGGCTTACTGGACTTAGGAAAGATACCATAAGGAAGTCTCTTAGGGCTTTACGTGATGATAATCAAGCTAAGAAAATATTTCAGCAGGAACTAGACAAACAGTTAGGCGGCCATGAGAGTGATTCCCATCCTGAGTCAGGTTGGAATGATATCAAAAAGGCTGTGGAAACAGCAGTGATATCTGCTAGCAAGGTAAACCATAAGGCTAGGATGAAGCCGTGGATTTCAGTCGCGTCCACCGAACTGATGGATGCTCGAAAACGCATCCCACCTGACTCTGAACATGATGAAGAACGTAGTCAGCTCAGGCGCATACTTATAAAAAGCCTACGTAACGACCGTGAACAGTGGTGGGTGGCGAAAGCAAAAGCGATGGAAAAGGTAGCGGCGATAGGCAACACTAGACAACTTTTCCGCCTTATTAGAGAAACCGGTATTAGGAACCCGAATGTGAGTGAGACTATCTCGGAATAGGATGGTCTTATTATCCATTCTCAATCTAGGAGGCTGGACCGATGGGGAGAACACTTTAGGGACCAGTTCAACTGGTCTTCAGCCACCATTCGGTTACCCACGATCCCCAGTCATCCTGAATGGCAAATCGATTTAAGTCCTCCCAGTTTACATGAAGTTGAGAAAGCTATAGGAAATCTAAGGGGAGGTAGAGCGGCAGGTCCTGATAGGCTTACCCCTGAGATGTTTAAGGATGGCGGTCCAGTTTTAACGGTTAGACTGACCGAGATCCTAGTTAGAATCTGGGAAATGGACGTAATCCCATCTGACTGGTCTCAGTCGCTAATCGTCTCAACCTACAAGAAAGGACAGAAGTCCTCTTGTGACAATCACAGGGAAATCAGTCTAACCAATATAGTTTCTAAGTTGCTAGCCTCGATTATACTTAGACGTCTAACTAGATCTCGTGAAGTGCAGACTCGAGAAAACCAGGCTGGTTTTCGACCTGGACGTGGTTGTATAGACCACATCTTCACACTACGACAGGTCCTGGAACACAGACACACATTTAGACGTCGGACAATAGTCGTGTTCCTGGACCTTAAGGCGGCATTCGACTCAGTAGATGGTGAGGTTCTGTTGCAGTGTCTGTCATTGAAAGGCGTACCAAAGAAATACAGTAACCTTATACAAGCACTCTACTCGAACACCACTGGTCGGGTGAGAGCATATGGCGAACTGTCATCTGAATTCTGTACATCAAGTGGTGTCCGTCAGGGCTGTCCACTCTCTCCATTCTTGTTTAACTTTGTCGTAGACATACTCTTAGAGTTAACATTAAGCTCGTCAGATTTTTCAGGGGTTGACCTTCTACCAGGAAAGTCGCTTACTGATCTAGAATATGCCGATGACATAGTTGTATTCGGTGAAGACGCTGACAAAATGCAGAGTCTTCTGACTACCATAAGCAACAATGCGAGCATGTTCGGGATGCGGTTTTCCCCCTCGAAATGCAAAATGTTACTTCAAGACTGGGTTGCATCGACACCTGAACTAGTGATAGGGAGTGAAGTAGTCGAGCGTGTTGATCACTTCACTTATCTTGGGAGTCTCATCAGTGCTGACGGTCTGGTGACTGACGAAATCTCAGCTCGGATACAGAAAGCTCGATTGGCCTTTGCCAACCTGCGTCACTTATGGCGTAGGCGAGATATCCGTTCGCTAACCAAAGGACGGGTGTACTGCGCTGCAGTTCGCTCCGTTCTCCTTTATGGCTGTGAAACATGGCCGTTAAGAGTGGAAGATGTTCGTAGGTTACTAGTATTCGATCATAGATGTTTAAGAAGCATTGCTCGTATATCGTGGGACAGCCGAGTAAGCAATGCTGTCGTTAGGAAACGAGTACTGGGTAAGGATGGCAGATCAATAGATGAAGTGGTGAAACTTCATCGGTTGAGGTGGTTGGGATATGTGTTACGTATGGCTAACCACCGACTGCCTCGACGAGCTATGTTTTGTGGTGTAGGAGTAGGTTGGAAGAAAGCTAGGGGCGGCCAGACCAAAACATGGCAGAAATCCATGAAGTCTCTGACAAGTGGACTGAGTCATGTTGGTAGATGTAGACTACCTGGTTGGGGTCCGCGAGATGACAGTAATCGATGGTTAGAGACCTTGAACGACATGGCTGAAAACCGTTTGCAATGGCGAAAGTGCATCCATTCTTTGAGCTCTCTCAAATCCTAATCTTCTGGAATCGTCAGCACCTCTACATTTGTCTTTCTAACCTTATCTCACTGAATTATACTTCTTGAATAATATCTTCAAACCCTAATCTTCTTTATTAACATTAATACCTCTACTATCTTTATCACTATGGGATTTGATTTGACATCTGAGTCTTTGTGCTAATGTGGTATGGCAACATGAACTTTTGTACATACGTACGAAGTTCTATGTTGCAACTGACTGACTGACTGTCGACAGTTGACAGAATGAAAATTACCTAATACGGATTCGCGGAAACATAATCGGCTATCGTTCTTATACGTCGCTCAACAGTTTATCTAACTTAATCTTCATCAAGCATCATTTATTTACCATTGAAAATTATTTCTGAATGAATTTCTTAGAGATAATCTATCACTATTTGAAATTCCTAATTTTTTAAGTCTAGTGAATTGTAATACGTAAAGCATTAACAACAAATATCAAGGGTTGTAGTAAATTTACTTTATTTTATGTTATCTAAATCGATCTCAAAAACACTAATTCCAAACTGAAAGTGTAGATTTACAAATAAAGTTCCGTGAGAAAGTGTTTTCTGATTGCATTTTATCAGCAAATTAAGTAATTTTAATGAATCATCCTCACAAAACCTTATACGTAAAACTGCATTTTACTGATAACAGTTTGTTTGAGAAAATTTTACACCACAAGAAATTGAATTAATGTACAAAATTTTACAGTGACTATTGTTTTTGCTCTACGAAATTTAACCAGTTGTGATTAATTTTTGTGAAAATCTCTTATACCCACATTTTCTTCCTTGTATTTTGTTTTAATATTTGATAATATAAAAAAGTAACGGGACACGGATATGTTTTCCAACTATTAACTATCCGAAAATTTATCAAGTTAGCAATAACACATGGATAAGTAGTAGAAAAATTGGGATAAAATGACTTTTTGTTGTCTAGGCAAAAGAAAAATCAACAATATAAATAATCTGTCCACAAAACAAGTTTAAGAATAGGTAGTGCAACAATATTTGACAAATAGCTCTCGTCAAAGAGAACGGATTTAGATGTCTGTAGACACAAAGTTTTATTGAAGTGATTACAAGATACTGGATATATATTTGAGGAAACTTTTTGTGTCTTCTGTTGTACATTCTGATGGTATCTTTTCGGGATGTTCCACAGACCCATTATGAAATTCTGAGATATTAACGCAATAAACAGATACTATAAGGCATCCATACAGGCTACGTTTTAATTTAATGTTTCGTTAACGGTGTGTGGCGAATCATAGCGTATGAACAAATACTTGGCCAATATTGAATATTCAGCATGACTGCGGTGTTCATCAAACCGGTATGCGGATGGAGTCGATTCTGAAACAATGTTCAGAAAAGCTGACTGAATGTTTTACTTAAGCCACCTTATCAAGCAATAATATTTCACAAGATTAGTGTGGGGGTCCTCGTACAACTTCTTTATTTGATTTATAAACAAATTATACAATTGAGTACTAGGAAAAGATTCACAGTTGACTAAAACATATCCAAGTTAGATCTCAGTATATATTGTGATTGATTGATATCCAACTTGAATTATTCATACCAAATGATGATGTGAGTAAAAACCGTAAGTATTACATGTTACTACTTACTAATAAGCAGTAGTTAGAGTCATTTTACATTTGTGAGTAAAACGTCTACTAATTTACACTGAAGCAATTATCTTTTAATGTCCTCTGCATCTATCAACTTAACACATAAGTTTATACTATACTATAATTTGAAGTACGTAAATGCCTATACAAAAGTAACTAATAAATTACAAAAATTTACTGTGATTCGACTTAACTGTTGTGTCTTTAAATATTCGATACATCTCTTTCATACTACATTTTTAGAATTTCCAATTAGAAGTTGTACGAGGTGAAGACATTGGTAAATTTTTCCGTGGTGATTCCTATATTGTTTTGAATATCGAAAAAGTTGGCAATGAACTATTGTATGATGTTCACTTTTGGATTGGACGAGAAAGCACTGCGGTATGTTTACACGCTAATGTATACATTTGATATGAACAAACTTACCTCATTTTATCGCATGATCAAATTAAAATTAGTTGTTTTAACAAGTAAATCGGCAGTAGTAAAAAGTATTTTTTGAAATTTCACATTTTAACAATTTCATTCCAACTCATCTTCATGGTAGTTGTATGTTTGAATAGGGTAAAACATACAAAGACCACTAAAATATTGAAAATCAATTTTACAGGTTACTTCAAAATGACTACTTAGTTGTTGTTGAATTTCGATAAAATGTTTTCTGAAACTTTATACTCTAATAGTGTGAAAAATCCAGGTTAATCCTTGGAATTCACAGCACTTGGAATTCTATCTAACCTCAAAAATGGAGATCAGAATGTGTTGATAACCGGTGTAAGGCTAAGTAAAATTGACTAAAAAAATCACCAAGCACTTATTATCAACCTCTAATATTGGACAATATATTCAATGGTTGTAGTTTAGGCTTGATTTTTATGCAATAAAGATCAGAACTTTAACCTTTTTCAGGATGAATATGGAACAGCAGCTTATAAAACCGTTGAATTGGATACTTTTCTTGATGATAAAGCTGTTCAACATCGAGAAGTCGACGGATTCGAATCTGATTCGTTTAAAAGTTATTTTAATCGTTTTGAGTAAGTTCAGCATAAAGCTTATTTTGTTGGCTAAATATTATTATTAATTTTCACTTCAATTAACTTGGTGATAAATGTTCCGAAAATAATTATAATTTTTTGGTGGTATTCCAATCAGTAGAAATTTGTATTTCTGACGTTGCGTGTCCTAATGCAAGTCACTTCATAGCAAATAAATAACACGTTTTTGGCAAACTATGTAACTCTACTTTATGAGTATTTGATGATAAAATTACTAAATTTGAACCTGACAATTGGTAGCATTGAAGGAAGAAGATTCTTTGATCAGCTAGAAGATGATTACGCAAATTAGACCTTATTTTATGTTTTTTATGTTCGATTGCCTGTTGAGCTGGTTTAATTCTATGCTTAATATTATTTGAAGCTCATTATTTTGCCATGGTATCCACTGATTCTCGTTAGACTAGGATTTACAAAATTTCAAACCATACGCTGAATGATTGTCATTCATGTGTTTAGGCTATAATCAATCTACTGAAACTTTGTTTTAATTACCACAAGTCACTAGTTAGTAACATGTTATATTATCTAGCCTCACAATGTAGTCTGAATTCTATTGATCAATTTTATATTAATTGGTGAAACAAGCGTTTAGCAGTCTTTTTCATTTGGTTATCATTATTCGGGTTTGTCTGTAGCATCACAGACACTTCTGTTAGTTTTATTTCTTTGCATGTAAATTACTTGATTGGAAATATTTGGTCGTAATGGCAGATTAAGTTCATACTATGAATTCCTTTGTAATTTAGCTATTACGATTTCTTCATTAGAGTATGATTAATAACTCTAACGTTATTTTTAACACATCAATGGTTAGAGACCTTGAACTACATGGCTTAAAATCGTTTGCAATGGCGCAGGTGCATCCACTCTTTGTGTGCTTTTTAATTCTAACCTGAATTCCTCATAATTTCTATCTTTCTCCTTTTAAATTTATCTGACTGAATTATACTTTTCGAATCATATCTTTGCTCCCTAATCTTCTCCATTGCTGCTAATAATTCTACTATCGCTATCACTCTTGGATTTGAACTGACAGTTACGTCTCTGTGCTGACGTGGTATGGCAACGTGAACTGATGTACTTATGTACGAAGTTTTGCGTTGTATCTGTCTGTCTGTCTATTTCTAACACAGTGCGTACAAGATGAGCGTTTCTTTTTATTCAGGATTCTGTAACTAGGTGTTATAGAATCCCAGCATTGGTGTTCTCATTAAGAGTTTGATTCCCCCACCTTTTTAAATACTATTACATCACTTCTCATGCTAGTGTTTAACGATAATCACCAGTTATTCAATGTCAATGTGAAGGGTAATTCTTAGATGTAGTTATGTCTTACAGGTCAGTCTTGAAATAGTTAATCCGAAAGTTTTAATTATTTGTTGCGATTTCAGGTTCAGTTACTCAGAGTTTTATAGATATAATTTTTTGTCCAATGTCTTCTAACCACTAAGGGTACACTTTTTGTTAAACTATTTAGATCTCAACAGATAATCATACATAAAAATTTGATTTTTCTAAAGAGATGGAACACACATGCCATAGTTTATTTATGTGTTTATTTAAACACATGTTTATTGGTGCAAAGGGGCATCTAAATATTTGTACATCTCACCAATTAATGGATTTGTGTTTGGGTTGGAATACTGCCTTAAGTGCCCAAACCTATGTAGGTTGTTTTCTTGGGGAACCACTCCCTGAGCCTCTGACCTAGAGATCTAATCTACGAGACAGTGGGGTAGCGTTAGGAGATGCAGTCCTATGGTAGCCGGTAACTAACAATAGATTGACATACCGTTTGTCTCATCAGGATTCTTGAGCCTATGTGAAGTATCATTCGGAATCAGGGTTTCCAACTCCTATACGTGAATCTTCCTTTATGCGTCGGACATTCTTTTTTTGTCCTCTCGATTTCTTGAGCACCGCCGTCTTGAAAGGCAGTGAGTAGGACTTTCTTGGAAGTGGCTATATACGCGTGGCCATATGAGAGCATTAGGAGAGAGAGTAGGCTCTTTCCACTTGGCCATACCAGGTCATATAGAGGCAAGCGTGGCACCGGACAAAGCCAGCTCAGCTTAAAACAAGAACAGTATACTTAGTAGATATTCACTTTTCCGTTGATTTGTATCAACACTTTGAACTAACTCAAGATAATTGTCAGTATTCAATGCTAGCGCACGTAACTTTATTTTCTAGAACGTAAGGAAAAATGTGTCTATTTTGCCTTGAATAGTTCTTAGATATCACTCGTTTCTCGTTGCAATTCTGGTTGAACACTTTATCGGTTTATATTTTATGTACTTGAGTTGCGCATCATGTGGCTAAACAAAGAATTAACTAGCATTGAGTCATATCTCCAAGAGTATATTGTTATTTTCTGTTGAATAACAATTTTAATGAGATAATTTTACAAATGTAAACAGAAAAACGCGTAGGAGTTAATTAGTTACATACTAATTAGTTGTATATTACACTACGTTTTTTTTTTTACTCAGAGGGTGTTATTATTTATACTCAACAAGATAAAACTATCTCCAACACATATGAATTACTCAACAACGAAAAAACTCTTTGTAATTAAGTTAGTAAAATTGTCATTGTGTAAAAAGATAGACAAATTGTAAGGCTTCATACGCTTCCATTGATTACATGGTGATCTCCAATCAAAATCACTCGTAGTCTACTTTAATAATAATACTATTGATTCGATTTGACTACATTGAATGTAACCTTACTGGTTCCCTGATTGTGTAGTCTATCACAATGTTAGTAAATTTAATTACTTAATACTCATTAAAAATTTCAAATCTCTTCTAATATCTCACCTAGTTCATGTATCAAATTAATAAAGTACCAAATGAATTATTATTAAAAATTTTTCAATATCTCAATGGAAATGATTTAATAAATTGTACATTATTCAATGAACAATGGAATGATTTAATAAGCAATGACAAATATTTATGGTTGTCTATTTTTGAAAATGAAATGAACACTGGTTGGTTATGGTTAAACACAGATACGGTCAATATATTAAATTCATTTCATGTAATCAATGAAAATTTATTGATTGAATACAATGAAAATGAATCCAGGCGTAAAGATGACCACCAACAAAGGAATAAAAACTATCGAAAAATCACTGAATTAATCACACAAATATTGAATAATCCTGCTTGTTTAATGAAAAAAATCTATTCATATTACACTGACATAAACAAGTTGGAAAAAGAAACATTAGAAAAACAGATTATTCCATATTTGAAATCATTAAATACTAATGAGATTTGTTTTAATTGTATAATATTAGGACCAGCTATTGATACAGTTCATTTGGCTGGAGAATTTATGCATACATTATTAAGTTGGATAGATTTAGCTTTAACAATGAATAAACAATCGATTAAATCTAAACAAATTCCTAGAAGAACTAATACTTCATGGACTGGACAAGGATTTATATTACGTTTACCACAATGTTTATCATTGAATAATGATAAAGAGAATTGTAAGAGTATACTTTTTAATACAACAATTTTACATTCACGTAAGCAGATGATACGTACTAGATATTGTTATGGTGGTAGTCGTTTATTTGGTAATTGTTTAGTTGACACATCTACTACAAATCAACAACCAATTGTTAGTGTAAATTTTACTTCATGTACAATAGATGCAATTAGTTCAACTCAAATTGTATTCTATGTTATTGATATGAGAAAAGAAGATAATTATTTATTAAATAATGAAAATGATGATTCTATACCGTTGATAAATCCATATAATTCAGACAGTGAAAGATGGAATGAAATACGTATTGAATTAGATGCTTTAACAAACTGTATGAATTCAGAACAAATATTAATTATTTTAGGAGTTGGTAATCAAAATGATCATGAGAATAATTACAATCTTATTGAACTTGCTTTAAATCTTGGCTGTAATGATTGTACTTATTCAAAAGATACTAATCATGAAACTAATAACAATCAAGAGACTATTGATACTTGTCATGGTAGACCGCTATTAAATAAGCCATATTTAAATTGGAGATTATGGTGTACTTCAATAAATGAATTGAATTATAATAATTTAGAAGAGATTTTCTTATGGACAGCTATAACTTGTTTAAATAAATCATCTATTGCTAAAATGATGTCAAATCAATCATTGACAAAACGTATTACAACTGTACAAAATCGTATGAGTAATTTTTATCGTATCTTTTCCAACTGAATAGTAACATTTGTATTCCCTCATAACCTGTATTGTCTATTCTTATTATTGATTACTGTGTTTTGATAATATTTTTGAAAAGTTTCTTTTTTTTTATCAATCTATCAGGGAAATGTTTGTACTTTGTGACTTATTTTCTTTCATCTTAACTACAATGTAATTCTTTCTGAAATTGTTACGTGCAACAATCCGATTTTTTTTTTATTTTATTTTCAAATAACCTAAAACTAAAAGTTGATTATCTCGAATGATGACAACTTTAATCCTATTCAAAATGAATCATCATAACTAACACGTGACATAACCGTCAAGAGAAAAAAACAAAGAAATAAATTGGGCAGTTGTACTGTCATCAAAATACAAATTGTCATGACTGACTAAGATGTTTAAAAGTCAATAAAAATGCATACAAAAATTATTTAGTTTTCTGTTGTGTTCAATTATTTATGATGATGGAAATAGTTGAAGCAAAAAAAAAAAATGAAATGAAATGACCTCACGAGATGTTGGTGTTTTCTCTTTGGAAAAGTGTTTGTATCTCAGTGTGTGAATATTTGATTACATTATTGTTTTATTAATTACGTAAATAATTCTGGTCTGGTCTTAATTATCACAATGAAGAGATGTGTTTTGAACACATGATAATAATATTGGTTTTTTTTGATTGTAGATATATTTAGCTACTTCATCATCTTAATAAACCACATTGTTTAATGCCCCGTCACATCTCATACATTAATAGTTGATGTTAGGATTTCATAGGAAAAGCATAGAGGTAACCGGTTTATGGTCTAACGCTGTAATATGAAAGAAGAGTGTGTAAGACTGATAGTTGTGGGTCTTTCATGATATCTAGAAATAGTCTAACTCTTTGACTTGAGACGCTATCAGACATGGCTTTAAAACAAAAGCTAATGGCAATCCTGTTCTAATTTTCTTTTAACTTCTTCATAAAAACTTAAAGAACTGAAAGAAATTATTGGTTGTATTCTCCCGTTACATACTATATTCGTTTATTTATTTTCATGCATTTATCTACTTTTGACCGTATTTCTTCCTTTATGTCACAATTTCATTTACATAAATACGCTTGTGTATAGTTATTTTAGTGTCCAATTTTTACTCATATTTGTCTGTATTAAATAAACTGATCATTTAATGGTTTACATAGAAGAAGGTTTTTAACCTGTTGCAAGCTAGTAAACATGTCGTGATTTCGTTTGAGAACTTTTTAATGAAGTAGGCTTATTACGAAAACCGTATTTACTAAATTTACTGCTTTCTATTTGTTTTTTTTTTTTACAAATCAATAAACAACATATAGAACTCTTGCAGGTGGTTATGCGAGCGGATTTAATCATGTACAACCAAATGAATATAAGCCTCGGCTTTTAGTATTTCATTCAATTGATCGTAAACACATGGAATTACTTGAAGTACCATTTTCAAGACGTTCTTTGGATTTTACGGATGTTTTTATTTTGGATATGGGTACTGTAGCATACCAGTGGAATGGACGTGAGTGCAGTAAAGAAGAAAAATTCAAGGTAAGGCATTGATATTTTTATGTAAGTAGACTGTCAAGATTCTACTTATGGCAAAGACACTATATCACTATCCAATCTTTGATTTCCTCAAAATATGTAGACAGCTAATGTTTACGTATTACAATATGACTTGTGTTCTGGCACCTATAGTCCGTTTTCAATCCTAATCTTCTCCATTACTGCTACTACTTCTACTACCTCTACTACTATTGGACTTGAATTGACAACTTTTTACTAGTTTTTATTATTGTCATAGAACTTATCTACAAAAGTGTAAATTACCCTTTTTATAATTGATGTTCAATAACTACGGAAACCAAATCATTACTTATACTACATTATTTAGTATAATAACTGAAATAACCGAGCCCCACAAATATCTCACTGACAATAGATGAAGTCTATTATACCACTTAAATTTATGTTATGAATATTGTCAGTTACTTATATTTCTTAAAATACTCTTTGTTTAGTGTTAGTGGTTTAAAGTTTATTGATTAAAGTTTGTTATTCATTATGCGATTCAGGCAAGTCAATTTTTACAACAACTGGAGTCTGATCGAAATGGCCGGTGTAAAACTGAAGTGATAGATGATGATGGTTCTGAGGAACATGTAAGTTGCTTATTAATTTGTAAAATTTTTTTAATTATCTTTTCAATCGAAGAAAAAAATCACTTCAAAGTGCGTTTTGTTGTACATATGATGATTACAGGAATTCACTTACTTATTTGGTGTAATCTAATTATTCCATTCATCATTCATGTTTTATAAGATATGAACTAAGATAAGACAATAAAGTATCATATTAAAATGGATCATCTTCAATGTAACTGTGCATACTATAAGAACTATGATAACATTATCTGTACTAATCACCTGATATATAATAAAATATCTTTATCCATCAATAATCGAAACTTTACAATGGCTTCAGAGATTTGACTCTTTTTAGTCGACGTAGTTATCGTAATTATATTGAATATTATCAAAGAGTACTGACAATTCTCTAGTTTAACATATTGAATGTCAGGTGAGTGGTCCTAGGTTCCATCCCTGATAGCCGGGTCATGGTTGCGCGCTACCGAGAAGTTAACATACTTTGATGAAACAACTATCTTGTGTATTCACATTTTTAATGACGGTTATAATTAAAATCAGTTCGTGATTTGAACTGCTAATTTTTTAATCTTTACAAACCCTGTATATTAAAAAAAGAACTGATACATTTCAGATGCGATACCAAGACAATGTTATAACTTAAATTAAGTAAACAAACATTAAGTTTGGCAGTACTCGGTTATTCTTAATCCGGTATTTACTATAAAAAACTGGCAATTAACACAGAACAATTTGAATCTTATTCTATTCAATCTATCGTAGTTTAATCTCGACAAACTGTTGGGGATGTTAGATCCCCAGAACTCGCTTGATAAATGCCTTATTTCGGATTTCACGTTTGCCAGCATGGGCTGATCAGTTGACCTTGAGATTTCATTTCCCACCAGGAAAATCCATGGCTGTGATTGGCTGCTGTATATTAACAGTCCCAATGACGTTTCTATGATGTATAAATAAACGAGAGTTGTGTGCTTGAATGTATTGTGATTGCTTGGTGTTTGTAGGATAAACTTTCTACGCTTATCAAGCCTTCTGTTTACAGCTTGGGATTCAAGGTAGCCTATCTGGACGCCGGTAATTGTCTCGTTCACGTTTATCGACTAAGGTGCACTCGTAATAGCTTCAAGCATACCTAGTGACGAACATTACATAATGATGATCATCACCATCTATCATTGAAAACCGTAATTTACTTAACATCAAGTACATATTTTTCTGTCTGTCTTTTTCATCTAGATCAGTTAGAATTCTGTTGGAAATTTGTTATTAACATTAAAATCTATTTATATATTTATTAGTTATAAAACTGAACAGTTGTATTCACTCGTAATTATCATACATGTATTTCTGTTGTCATTCGTTTTTTTTTTCTTGTTTTGCACAGAAAAAGTTCATTAGTTTATTGCCAGATGTTGAAGTAGGCGAAAAAATTAAACCAAAAATAGGCAAAAAAGCAATTTACAGGTACTCTTTCGAGACTTTTTTTTTCTAATCTGTGTAAAAAGACTTTTTGTGTTTGATTAGATTATTAGACAATCGTCCATAGGTGCATGTAAAAAATTATGGTGAAATTCACTATTATTATTAGTAGTAGTAACAGTATTAGTATTATTACTACTACTGTAGTGAAGGAGAACACAGGTGAGGGCAACCGAATTGTATTATACGAAAATTACAGAGTTACTCAGTAAAATCGGAAAATCTTATCGTAACCGTTAATTTGCACATCTTCAATCCATCATCAATCCATTGTCTGACATTTCACTATTCATGCGTTTCATACAAATTCCATTGTGTTCCCACTCTTTCTTTCTTGATCTTCCCCCATCTTCTGCTGCCAGACATTACGTTTACACTCACGTCATATACTACTTATAAGTAGCGCGCACCACACTACCACCACGCAATATGTAGTGTCAGTCTAATTTTGTCTAAGGCATAGTAATAAAATTAATCGATTGATAATTAGAATCCACTCTCATTGACGTCATCCTCTTCAATCAGTTTGTTAAATGAATACGTATCTTGAGACTTTGAACGTTCTGTTCCCTACATAGTAGAACAGTGGTTGTTTCTAAAGTGTTTATTGATGATGGTCAAAAGGGAGTTATTCCCCCCCTAGAAAATATTTAACAAGTTAAAGTTTAATCGTATCTGACATTTTCAGAAGAAAAAGTTTAATTTGTCACAAAAGTGGTTATTATAAGCAAAATGATCAAAACCGTATCCATTTTAATGCTGAATCAACGGTAGGTGTATTTTGTTATCAAATAATGCATAGAAATCAACACTGACATATAACTGTTTAGTTATCTGAAATGAAACTTTAAACTGTAATTGACTAGTTTTTTTTATTAGGAACTCTTCAGAAATACTACGCTGTTATAAACTTCACGAAGCATATAACTCATGACCTTGAACTCATTCTGTGAGAGTGCACATCAAAAAATAACATTGAGCTACCGTTCAATAGTTTAAATTAATCAACATAACCATTCAGTGAATTATTATTCAATACTCAATACACAATTCTTAACCATGGTTGTTTAGCTATTAGGATAGTAGAACAGACTGAAATAATTCCAATCCATCTTCGTATTGTTTGTTTTCCTGACAGAATCACTTCCCCTATATGAAGTCATTGACTAGTGGACTGAGCCATGTGGGTAATTGTCGACTACCTGGTTGGGGTCCGCGAGATGATTATAATCGATGGTTAGAGACGTTGAATGACATGGCTCAACATCGTTCGCAATGGCGCCGGTGCATTTATTCTTTGTGTTCTCTCAAACCCTAATCTTCTGGATTCTCCAACACCTCTAGTTTCGACTCTCTAAACTTTTCTCACTGAATCATACTTCTTGAATAATATCTTCTAATCCTAACCTCTCCGATTACTCCTAATACCTTTACTACCTCTTCTACTATTGGATTTGAATCGACAATTATATCTCTGTGCTGATGTGGTATGGCAACATGAACTGATGTACTTACGTACGAAGTTCTACGTTGCATCTGACTGACTGACTGACTGACTGAATCACTTCCGTTTAACAGTATTTGTTAATATCGGTACTAGCTAGTAATAGGACCCTATAGGTCAAGGATTTCATCTTTTTTTTGATGGATCTACTGTGCATATAGTAAGAATAATAATTTGCACTTTTATACACTTACACCTGTTACATTATTTATTGTTTACTCAAGTTCATTTCATTTTATGTTTCAAACTTATCACTAATTGCATTCATTAACTTTTACAGAGTTTCAGATGAAAGTGGTAAAATGGAAATTTCACTTGTATGCGAAAATGCCTTACCAAAATCTTCACTCACAGAAAACGATGTCTATTTCATTGATAGTGGAAATTCTCTATTTGTTTACATTGGTGTGAAATGTAGTAGACGAGAAAAATTAGATGCATTGTCGCATGCACATGTAAGTGATTTGAAGTTTTTTATGCTAAAGGTTTATATATATCAGTAAATTTGATTTTAGTTTCATAGTCATATTTTATACTCGTTTTTCATTCAATTCATAAGAAATAATGAATTTTAGTTCTCTGAACCGGGTGGTTTAATTATAAAACTTTGATTTTCCAATCTGGACAACAATAATTTGCACAAACTTTCAGATAAGAGTGATCTATTCGAATTTCTCCGAGTTATGACTAAGAGCTTTTTCTGTTGAACTTCATCTCATTTGGTTATTTCTAGCCATTGTTTTATCATTGTTCGAATATTTATTTTATCTTATCTTACTGTTTTTGACTTGATGGTTATCCAAGCTCTATCTCATTGTTTAGTCAGTTGGGTCAATTTTGATATATTTGTTGATTGATCTCAACGGTGAGATTCTAGAAATTCCCTGGTTTTCTTAGCATTCCCTATATCTAGGATTTAAGCATTTTATCAGTCGAGCGTGTATCCACAATTGTCTGCAAATGTTCACTTAAGTGGCGATATATCTTGCTGTTCAGTAGTAGCATTCGAATATGGCGGCCAACCTAATTGATATAATACTCCTCGCAGTCTGAGCGTCTTCTTTAATAGATAATGGTTAATACTTTTTTTTCCATCTTATCCTTTTATTTATATGATAGTGATGGAAATGATTTCTCCATTTTATGGGCTACTCCTATTCAAAACTGTTGTAATCTCGATTATTTCCTTCGTATGTGTTAGGGAAATCTATCAGTTGGTTTCCATGTTTGTTTGGATTCTCTTTGCTTAACTCTAATACGACCAAGTCGTTAATAATACTGTTAGGGACGTTAGATCCCCAAGACTCACTTGGAAAAGGTCCTAATTTTGGATTTATTATGTTTTCATGCATAAGCTACTCAGCTGACATTGGGATTTCATTACATTACACATTTACACCAATTATTGTATGAATATCTTGTTAAATCAATTCCAGCATTTATTTTGTGGTTGAATGCTTTAAACGAAGTAATATATGTTCTCATATAATTGTCTTCTCAAACTACTGTACATTCAGTCAATAACATTTACACCAACCGACGCTTTAGTAATATGACATGTCATACTGTTCAGTTGTTGGAACAGGTTGAATTCTATTGAGAAAATTTACAATATAGCCACTTAACCTATGGGATTTGACCTAATGGTAGAGTTTCCTTTCACTTACTTCTATCCATCTAGTCAAAAAGAACCTGCATTAAAGTATTATTTTAAGTAGAAAATGGATTCTCTTGTGTGGCAATAGTTTTGACAGTATTGAAATGTTTGTATACCTGCCTAGATCAAAAAAATGCTTTATGAATCTAACTTCCTAATACTGATATTTTTTACGCGAATAGTTGCACCCGTAATATTGACAATTAGTTTTTTTAAAAATCTAGTTATCATACAAAATACATTTCACATGTGACTATGTTTAGTTTTAAAACAGTTATACATTTGTTCTTTTTCTTGATTATTCCCTTTTATTTATTTCAATTATTAGGAGTATTTACAAAAAACCGATCATCCATTCTCTCCAATCACTGTTGTATCAAATAATCGTCATTCGAAAGAATTGGAAAAAGTTCTCGAGTAGTAGTAAGTAGTAGTAGTAGTAGCAATGATTAGTTATTGATTGTTTTATTCTTACAGATAGAAAACAATGACGATGATGATGATGATGATGATCATATCAGCCGGAAGTGAAGTGAACATTTTCCAGCAATATCATTTTTTGCCATTCATAATAATATTTCTGCATTATATTTATTCTAAATTGTCTCATCATATTCATGAATATTATTTATTTTTATGCTTTAATAATTTTGTTATTTATTAAACGAATGCATCTGTTCGAATGTTATCTGTTTATGCTTTCAAATAAATAAATTTCCATTGGAATAATAATTTTTCTTCAATTGAATCTTGAATATTTCTTTTTGTTATATATTCGAATTTAAGTTTCATCTAAACCTACTGTAATTTATAACTACGGTTGAAATTATGTTAATGCAAATGGGATCTATTGCTGATTCGGTAGTACAGTCAGTAGCTAACATTAAACTTCAACAAAAAGCGTCAATTATAAAGGAATACAGGAAAGAGGTTAGAATTCTAGGAAAACTTCATACTTAGCCGAGACGAGATTGAAATAGAACACCTCTGTAAACATAGCAACGAAATATGATTTTGAGACAAGGGAAAACTAAATAAACTGAGAGTGATTAGAGTTAATTTGTAAGAAGCACAAACCATGTAAAAATGCGTATAAGGAAAAATGAACTTGGTATAATCTTCACAAAGAAAAGTCCTTTAATAATGAGAAACTACATAACTCGAGCTTTTCACTGCTTTTTCTGAACAGAATATGCATTTATTTGTACTATTGTTATTATTGAAGAGCACTGATAGTGGTTTCATTTGGAAAAGCGGAAGTTTTAGAAACTAGTCAGTTATATTTAACAAATTGGTTATGTTCACTTCCTTCACATTATTCTGTGATTCATAATCTTGGATTCAAGTTGCTTATCTGCAAACAATTTATGACGGACTAATCGAAGTCGGCATGAAACAAACAATCTAGATTGCGTAAAAATCGTTTTCATGAGATAAATGGGAGATACAAATTGTATCTATTGACATTTCTTATACGACTGGTTATTGTAAGTCGGTGGTTATGTACGTCACACTAAGTTGGAAGTCATATAACTGAGCTCAGTGCTCAAGAGTTGCAGTTTAATATTCATATTCATATCTGTCTGAGTCACAAATTACTTGCTTCAAAATTGTTAGATATACAACATATGTTAGGGTATTTTAAAGAACTATCTATTCGTTGGCAGCTAAGTTTCTAAAATCAAAAATCTATGAACCAATACTCAACATTGATGTACTTTCAAGTTATGATCAATATTAACGAGACAGTAGACACCATCTTTGCGAGAATCTCTACTTAATTTTGGCAATCGTAATTATAAATTACGAAAGTCGAGTTTAACTGTGTAAAGTAGCGTAAAAAGGCTGTCAACAAAACTTTGGAGTATTGTCTTATTCCACATAAATACAGTATAAAGTGAATCACTCACTCAATATTCAAGAATTTCTAATCAGCATGTAACAATTGAATAGTGTTCTAACGAGCTTCTGAATATCTAACTGGATTATTAAATTTTTTTGGATCATGAGTCTGACTTCTGAGAACTTCTGGTGCTGTTTGTTTTCCTGACTAACTATGACACTGAATATAAGGCAACATATCTGTAATACGAAAATTAGTGATTCTCACTCTCCCTTACCTCAAAAAAACTCTGTGATAGCAATGTATGTGCCTAATTCATTTGATAGCGAATAGATGATAATGCTTCTCAGTCATGTTGTATAGAAAGGCTGGAATTGTGTCAGTTCAATATCTCGATTTAGGTTTAGCGCTTAACTAATGTTATGTGTTCAATTTACTAGCTATTTTTTTCAGACAATTCATTTTAATTGTTTAAATTATTCGTACACCATACCAAATAATACGTAACTGTATATTTGTTTTAATCTATATTAAATTCTGCATTTGTATAGAAAAACATAAAGCTACTTACTACAAGTTAGATGATAGGTTTTTTATTTGATAAATATTTACTGTTTGATCAATATGTTTCCATGATTGTTACATGTGATAAGTTAATTTTGTTTATCGTTTTTTTTTCATTCACATCTTTTAATTCATCAGATTTTTTCGTAATATGACATCATCAATTCATCTTAAACAGTCAGAAACTGCATATGTAATAGTTATGAGCGATTTAATACTAATTTGACTTGAAAAAATTGAGGAATGCAATCATGACATCATAGAATGGTTTAGAGAAGAATTTATTCATACTTAGTTGAGAGAGAATATACCTGTAAAATCTTCTAACTGTAGTAAGATTATGTGAAAGCTTGGTGAATGAATATATATATATATTTTTATTTTTATCAAGAAGTCACTTCATCAACATTAGTGAAAATAAAAGCTCTTGGGTCATCTTTTTTTTACTCGATTGTAGTTAGATTTCTCATTATTTAATGTCATTTTTTTTCATCAAGGTGAAATGAACTAGCATTTAAACGTACATTCCTCGTTGCAGTTGAACTACTGAAATAAATATAAGTAGTCAAATTACTTCTAAGTGTGCGAATTTTTGTGTGAAATCTGTCAAGATGTTATCTTGTGCGTATGAATTTGACGTAACTTCACTTAGATTGGCCAATCATTTAACTGGCTCATAATTAGTTCATTCAAGAAATAATCAATATCTCAGTTTTTACATCGTTTCCGACATGTTTATATGTCAGATTATTTTTGTTAAATAAGATTAGATTATTTTAATTTTCCTAGTTTTTGTGCATTGTATGTTGTGTATAGATTATTTCAATAGCAAAGCTTCATTATAGTTTTATACTGAGACTTGGATAAGACAATTTATTTAGTGAGTAAGGTGAGATATCTATCAACTTTCTTAGCATTTCATGTTACGATTCAAGAAATTGTTTACAAAATTTGCTTCTGTTACCTTTTTGGTTTATAAAAAGATCAGAATTTGTACTTGAATCTAATTCACTGATTATGTAAACGTCATATAAAATCAAAGTTGGTTAAATTTTTCTTAAACGATAGCACTAAATTAAGTTGAAACAGGAGCACTATATGCATTAAAGTTTCCCATTTTGAGGTGAAATCCTAAAATTATCGGTACGCAGATGTAGTGTACTAAATAATTTGACTGGTTTATTCAGTTAGTCGAGAAAAGTAAGATTAACAGCTTTATCACTTGTAATTACACTGAGTATACAGAAAAACAGTATCTATCCTATGCCAAATTATGCAGCATTTTTTAAAGAAGAAAGAACTGAAGCTTTTTTTTAACAGGTTGCAGTAACTTGAGATCTATGGAATTCTTGGTATTTGAGAGCGATGTTTTCTTCAGTTCAGAAAATAACCTTTCATAAAATTGTTTGTCACATACTCAATTTGAATGAATTTCTTAAGAGTACACTTGAGAAGCCACATTTTATTTCTAAACAGATTTTACATTTAGTTATATTCGTTGAAAGTATGAATGAAATGCTCTGGATCTGATCTTCAACAAATTTCACTTAGACAGATTGAAATAGTCAACAATTTATGAGTAAATTAAATCCAAAACAGATATGTCAGTCAGTCAGTTACAATGTAGAACTTTGTACGTACGTACATAAGTTCAGGTTGCCATACCACATTAACACAGAGATGCAATTGTCAATCCAAATCCCATAATGGTAAAGATATTGGGAGTATTAGCGGAAACGGAGAAGATTAGGGTTCAAAGATATTATTCAAGAAGTATAATCTAGTGAGATAACTTTGGAAAGATAAAAATGGAGTTTATGAGGAGCCCAAAAGATTAGAGTTTGAGAGAACGCAAGAGGTGGATGCACCTGCACCATTGCAAACGATTTTGAGCCATGTCGTTCAAGGTCTCTAACCATCGGTTACTATTGTCTCACGGACCCCAACCAGGTAGCCTACATCTACCAACATGACTCAGTTCACTTGTCAGTGATTTCATGGATTTGTGCCATGTTTTGATCTGGCCGCACCTAGCTTTCTTCCAACCTACTCCTACACAACGAAACGTTGCTCCCCTAGGCAGTCAGTGGTTAGGCATTCATAACATGTTCCAACCATCTCAACCGATGAAGTTTCAATACTTCATCTATTGATCTAGCCCCCGTTTCCTAACAACAGCATTGCTTACTCGGTTGTCCCACGATATACGAACAATGTTTCGAAGACACCTGTGAACGAATATTAGTAACCTACGAATATCTTCTACTCTTACTGGCCATGTTTCACAGTTATAAAGCAGGACGGAGCGAACTACTGCCCAGTAGACTCATCGTTTGGTTAGTAGACGGATATTCTCCCTAAGCCATCAGTTCCGCCAGTTGGTAAAAGCCATTCGAGCCTTCTGTCCGTGCTGAGATTTCGTTACACACCAGGCTATCAGCACTGACGAGACACCCATGATAACTGAAGCAGTAAATACAATGAACCACCTCATTCCCTATCACTAGTTTAGGTCGCGACGCAAGCCAATCTTGAAGCAACATTTTGCGATTCGAGAGTGAGAACTGCATCCCTAACATGCTTGCATCGGTACTTAGTGTAGTCAGAAGACTCTGCATTTTGTCAGCGTCTTCACCGAACAGAACTATGTCATCAGCATACTTAAAGTCAGCAAGCGTGTCTCCTGGTAAAAGGTCTACTCCTGAAAAGTCAGACGAAGATAAAGTCAACTCTAAAAGGATCTCTATGACAAAGTTAAACAAGAATGGAGAGACTGAGCAGCCATGACGGACACCACTTGAAGTAACCAATTCAGATGACAGTTCGCCATAAGCTCTCACTCTACCAGTGGTGTTCAAGTAGAGAGCTTGTATAAGGTTAATGAACTTCATTGGTACACCTGTTAAATGACAGACAGATGTATACTTAAACATAAGAAAAAGTAAATATAACAAATCAAATAATGTAATGCTCCTTCAAAAAACAGTATTGACTCATAAAACTCGATGTAACTC